GGTTGCGCTGGTGTAGTACACCAATGCAAAAATCTATAAGGTAGACATTTCATAGGCTGGGACAGTGCCTGAGCCTGACTGCTCTTGATGCTGCTCTCAGTTCTGCTGCTGCTTATACCATGAGATTAACGCCCCCATGCCAAACCTCCAAACAGAAAGTGAAGGTTAGGGTTGGAAAATCACTATCCAACACTCGGATCCATGCAGGGGGGTATCCTTGCACTCTTTTTTTTGGTTAAAGGTGACCTACATTGGAAAAAGCAAATTGGGCCTGTGTACTTTGGTGCCTCTTTATGATGTACAGTATAAAGAAGGCCTGAACTTTTTTTTGTTTGTTGTTTGTTTGTTTGTTTAATTATAAAAGGGGTTTTTCCTGATAATTTTTTACCATTAGAATTTCAGTTCCTGTTTAGCCTGGCACACTAGTTAAGCGATGTCATGATAAGAGCCAAGAGAATGAAAGCAATGGAGGAGGAAAGGGATTTTAGTCAGACTTCAAAACTCTTCCTTTTGTTAACAACTATTTAACTGCAATGCCTAATGAACATTTAGGAAAGTGAATGTATTTGTTAAAATTCATCTCCCTTCACCCACTTCCCCTTCAATGAGACCTCCAATTGATTCTCCAGGAAAAACAGGGAAGACAATAGTTCAGATTCCTATGTACAGAACAAGTAAGAAAAAAAAGTCTTAAAAATGCAGGCCCTCTTTCTACACTTCAGAGAAACAAAGTTTTACAGATCACCTTTAACTAATCTCTCCCTAAGCCAATTTGAGGTTGCTATACCTGAAGTTTCAAGTCGCTTTGGTGATGAGATCAACACATTAGCTTGTCTGTATTTAACTTTTTTCTTGTAAAGTCAAATCTTGGACATTTTAAAAAGTTTTCTGTGAAAATAAAATTTGAATTTGAAATTGTGGGTCCACGGGCAGCCACTAGGGGGCAAAAACAAACTAAGTAACCATCATCTCCAGAACAACAAAGAAAACTGTAATCTAAAACAGTCTGCTGCTCTGGACAGTGTAGGTACAATTTTTTTGGTATGTTTTATCACCACTATTAAATGACAAAAAACACTGTCTTTTCTCTTAGTTCTCATTAGGGAGCTAGAGATGAAAAGGCTAATATGGGGGTAATTGTATTTCATCATGCATGAGTTTATAACCCCAAGGAGTCGGTTTGTCTGTTGCAGCCAGTCACCATGATTCAGCGCACTTAGCACACATGGGAGTTGTTCGTTTACTCAGTCTCCATAGAGAGCACCATGGTTGTTACTAGTGCCAGCTTCAAAACCCAGTCACCTAAGCATAATCTCTTTTAGTATTTGTAATAGCAGCCACAAAAAAACACTGCAGATGACTATTAATACATTTTATGTGGGCAAAGTTAAGGCAAAACATTAGATTTGCTTAAAAAGGGAAGAAAGCACTTAGTGTGAAACTCTTCAGCACAAAATAAGCTTTTAATATAGATTTGTGTTTTAAAGTTCTGATCTTTTAGCAGTGCTGAATTAAAACACATTTTTCCCTTCTAATCAACTCACACATTTGCAACTGATTGTGTTAGTTCTTATTATGTATTCTTTGACTTATCTAGCAGGCATCACATTTATAGATAAGCACTTTTCATAAATTTTACACAAGTATTTCCTTACAAGATGAAGTGTTGACTCAACAATCCATCAGTCTCACCCCTAAAGATAACTCACTCACTTAAAAAAAAAATGTAGTGATGGAAAAAATAATGCCTGACCAATAAAAGCCTGGCAGTGTGATGTTACGTCATGTAGAATGATTTGATATAAGACCATATATTACTAGTTAACATTTTAATTATAATAGCAGGATATGACTAATTACATTTCCTATATTGGGGGATGGGGGTGGGAAATGGTTGACAGCATCCAGGACAGCAGCTGCTGAAAATGAAAAGTGTCAGGCCCAAATCCTTAAAGGTGTTTGGGTGCCTAACTCCCATTGATTTCAATGGGATTTAGGCATTTAAATACCAGTACCCAATGTGGCCCAATTCAGCAAGATACTTAAGCACAGGAGTATCTTAAAGTTAGGTACATGATGAAGGACCCAGTCCTGCCAAGACTTATGCATGTGCTTAATTTTACATACGGCAAGTAGTTCCATTCCAGTCTACTCACAGCGCATAAAGTTAAGCACATCCATTACTCCTTGCAGACTGACAGGAGCCTATGTATCTTTCTGAATCAGGGCTTGAATGCAGGAATTATACAACAGCATTAAAACATTTTATATTTCATGGCAGAAATTTTTACATTTACACAGGTGCACTTAATGTTACATATGGTGCACATAGACTGTGCACAGCTAGTTAAGTATGCTTTTATTCAAAGTGGTTAAGAGGCAATAGTCAGGCATTAGGTAGCTGCATTTTACACATTCCTGTCACCTCTGGCCAGATTTCCTTCCCCCTAAATGTTTGAGGCCTAAGTGATAAGCCTGATCTGCCTTACTTCAAGCATGGTAACTAGATTGATCTAATTTACACCCCACTTATACCCTACAGAGATGCTCTGGCTCTGCAGAATTTAAGTGCTCTGCAGGACCTAAGCATCAGCCTGCAGAGATTTGTAGCTCTGCAGAAATAGAGTGTCAGGCCTGTGGAGCTCTGCTCCTGAGTTCCTGATCTCCAAAGATGCTGAGCATTAGAGATACTTTTATAAAACTCCCTAGGAAAACAAATGCTTGAAACTTTATTAATACACTATTAATATTGCATCTGCCAGGGACAAACATGCAATCTTAATGATATAAACTAATATTCAGTCTTTCATTACCTTATCACATACAATTTTCAATATGCAAAAGTTAAGCAATGTTAACTCAGTCATATTGCACATACATAATATTTTCTGTTCAAATGTGAAGCTTAATAAATTTTATAACAAGCTGCAATACATAAGACATAACACTAATATATGGATAACTTTAACTATAAAATTAAGTGCTGTTTATGCTGAAAGTTTAAAAGTATGTCTTGTGGTCAGAGTTAAGGTTATTTTTGGAATGGGTAAAATGATTTTTTTCATATCAGTAATGTAGCTAATCAAATGCGTGAAGTGTAAGATTAATATTTATACAATTTACCCTAACTAGTCATTTTCATCCTTTTTATTCTCATTTCTATTGTGTAAAAATGGAATACCTACATATAATGAAGGAGCGAGCATCACTGAATATTTTTAGTCATTTTATACCAATGCCTATATAAAGATTTTAACAATATATTTTATGGCTCCTCAGTTCACATTAAAGATAAATACCTTGCATCCTTCTTAAATGTTCAAAGTTTAAATTACAATATTTTTGTTTCATAATTTGGATAAACATCATTATTCATTGTAGCAATCTTACCTGTAAGGTAACAAAGCTTTGTGGTGCCTACTTTTTTTTAAATAAAAGGAGCCCTGAAAACTAAAATAAAGATGTCATAAAACGACATGTCAGCACATAAAGTTTTCAAGCATACTGGGCTCTTTGTAGTTTATGTAGACTATTTTATGCATCAGGCTTGTCGCTGTCTGTAGAGAAAACTTAATGCACCAAGCCTATAGTTTTTTTTTTTTTTTTACAGTGCAGGCTCTTAAGGTCCGTGATGGAGTAGCAGAGACGGCTGTCATCGCAGAGCCCTTGAGCTGGGCAGGAGTCCTCCAATTCATGAGAAGACACTTCCTAAGAGAAAAAACAGCAGCGAGAACTGTGGACTTAAGCCAGGAAGTCTGTAGTTCAGGTGATCTCAGTGTTGGGAAGTAGTTCAGTAGGATCTTGTCACAGACCCTACTCGACTGCTGAAAGTTTTATGCCTCTAGAGGTAAAGAGCACCTAACACGACGTGTTATGCACCTAAAGAATACACGAGAGGCCTGGTTTAGTAACCACATAATCAATGGTACCCCTTAGCCATGGGGTGGGTACTGAAGAGGGGCCTAACTTGCACCAATTTAGTGTTCACTGGACATGCATGGTGCCAGGCATGTGCCAAGCAGGAGCAGAGGCTGCAAGAATAGCAACTGGCAGGGAGGGGCACGGGAAGGCAGCCGACTGCCCACTGTCCCACGCACCTCTCCCCTCCTCAGTTTAGCAGCACCTGCTAGAAGCAGACTAAGCAGCTGGTGAGGGCCCTGAGCAGCTCAACGGGGGAGGGCTATTCGCTATTTGAGTGTGGGTGGGTGGGTGGGGGGCAAATATTCCTGTGCAGGGCCCCCAGCGGGCTAGCGCCGCCTCTGCAGCTTAGCATGCTGCACCCGCAGGCCCGCTCAGGGACTGTCACCCCGCCGCAGCTCTGCCAGGCCCGGCCGCCGCAGCACTCAAGGCCGCCCAGGCAAGGAACCTGTGAGGCGCACGAGCCCAGGACCCGGCGGAAGAAGACGCAGCAAGCGGGGCGAGCCCGCGCCTGCGCTCATCCTCTCTAAGGCCCTCACTGACGCTAAACCTTGCGCACGCGCGTAACCCTACAACCGTGACCTCATCACCATGGCTCTGGTTCAGACCCTTCTCCCATCGTGCCACGCGCAGAAGACGACGGCGCCTCCCGTCTTGCGTACGCACGCACGCCAACGACCGCCAGCGTACGGGATCACGTGACTCCCAGCAGCCGACTTCTCGCTCTCCCCTCCCCCACCCACCGAAAACTGGGCCTGCACTGACATTCTCGTCTACGGCAACTACCATGGGCTAGTCCCGACAGAAGAAGTCGGGCCCCGGGGCGGTCGGGGAGCTCCGTCGAGCGGTCCAGGAATTTCTTCCTTCACCCTCAACCCACGGACGCTAAAGGCACCGCGTCACGTGATGGGAGAGAACGCGGGGAGAAGAAGAGATGGCCACTCCTCTGATGGGAGGGGCAGTGAGAACGAGTCAGGTGGTGCAGAGCGCGCGCCCAGCCGCGACGCGACATACTGGTGTCCCGTGGATGTGGCGCGCGGCGTCCGGCGGGAGGAGGGGCGCCAAGCGGTGAGGTCACGTGTTGCGGCGGCGCTGCCGCCGGCCCTAGGCCCCTCCTCCATGAGAGGGGAGGCAGGGCGGGCAAACATGGCGGCGGTGAGTTAGAAAGCGTCGGACGGCGGGGCTGGCGGCGGATACTTCCAGGAGCGGCCGTGGAGGGATCGAGAGCGAGTGAGTCCTGCCCTGCCTTCTTGCCCGACGCCGCGGGCGGGGGGGCTCCCCGGCCGCCTCAGGCGGTCCTTGCTCGACGGGGCCGCGGCAGTCGCGGGGATCCCCCCTCAGCTCCCGGTCTGGGCAGCCACGCACCAAGCGGGGCCAGGCATTGTCCCACGGCCTCCCCCACTCTGGCCCCAGACAGTGCGGGTAGGAGGCCCTTGGCGAGAGCCACGCGGGGTGGGGAGCGGCCGGTGCATGGGCATTGTCTGGAGGTGGGGACTCGGTGGGCAGGGGGATGTCGATCGCCCGTGCAGCCCCTTCCTCTAAGCGTGACCCCCAACCCGAGCAGCCGGCCCCGCAGTGACTGCCTCCCCCAGAGTGTCCCCTTGCCGGCAGAGACGCTGCCCCCCCACGCCCCATACCCTTCTGAAGTCTTGTTGAGTGGAGGGCGCTAATCGCTGCAGCGTGGGGGGATGGGGGTTGGATAGGCGGTGTGGGGCCGGCTGACACGTTACACCTGCGGGGGTCACTGCCCCAGAAGAGAGCGAACTTTCCTGCCGTTGGCTGGTAGCACGTATCTGTACGGCGAAGTTTCAGCTCCTGGGTTTATTGAAATTGTCTTGTAGGATCCGGTGGATAACGGCAGAGAAAACTTGTGGCCCTTATAACGTGGCGGGGCGAGTCCCCCCCCTCCCCCCGTTTTCTGGTTGGTTAAGCAAAATCGCCTCATTATCTAATATTTCTAACCACTGTCGTTTGTGTCTACTTAATCGCTTGGTTAATTGTTGCAAATAGAGACTCCCTAGCGACGGGAGAAGACTAGCTTTAAAAGAGGTTTGGCCTTTGGTGCTTCACTGGCTTTAAATATTGTATTTGTAGAACCTCCTACGATCTCTGTAAACTTAATGCTGTTGTTAAGGGAATTCTTAAGGTGTTGGAGATCTGAAAACAGAAGTAGTTTATGGGACGCAATTACGCAGCCAATTCTAACCCAACCCGGAAGTTTATGTCCTGAACACGTGTTTGTGGGCAAGGTTAGGAGGCTGAGGGTCGCTGACCCTTTAGTGAGAGGAATCTGTTCGTTAACGTTTGTGTGAATAGCGAGCAAAGTGCTCAAGGGTCCCTGCAATCAACTGGGATCAGTGTTGGGATTGAATGCCACAAACAGTAACGATTAACGAATGAGCCTCAAGGTCCGGTTAACTCTGACAGCACACCACAAAGGTTGCTGGGGAGAGTAATCACTTAACAAGGAAATGCTCCTAAACTTTATTGAGAAGAGAGGCCTCGTCTTTTTCAGTCACTATGAATTTTTTTTAAAAAAAGATGATATCCCAGCCTTTTTATTTGAGGGGGAGGTTAGGTCTGTTTAAAAGTTCTCTCTGAAATAGATACATTCTTAGCAGGTCATGTATGGTGTTTAAAGAATGGGCTAATCAGTTGAAGTGTAAAGCGATACAGTTTAAAATTATATGACAAATTTACAAATCTTATTTATTTTTCACTGTTTTTTAGGCTACTCATTGCATTTTATGTTGCTTAATAAGTTTCGCTTAGTTTTCATTAACTAATACAGTGGGACAGTATTTAAAGTTTTTATAGATGTTTAGACTTCAACAATTTTCATTTACTTTTTTTAAAAATGAAACTATTAAAGTTTCACAACTTTTTTTATTACTTCTAGATTTTTGGGGCTTGATCTGCCTGATGGAAATTGATGTATGTATACAATGGTGTATATTGTGTTATGATACAGTATTCGTATTGACAGGTTTCAGAGGTACACTACATGCTTAAAGGGCCATAAATTTACCTGAATCTAAAAATGACACTTCTGAAAAATGAAAATAGGATATATCTCCCCCACCTTCTTCCTTCCCACAATCTATCCCTTGTTTTCTAGAATAAGTTCTTTTCTCATCTGGTGCTAAAATGGCGTGAGAGATTGACAGTAACTGTAGGTGCTTGAGGAGGGTTCCAGGGGCAGACAGATAATTGAAAAGAACTGTCTTGCGTAACTCAGTCTATACTAGTACTGTCTTCTGGACTGAAGTAGAGAGAGGTTGGTGACCCCCAATACTTTATTGGAGAGACACTCATTCTCCAGAATCTTACTTTTCAAGGTGTTTTTTTGTTTTGTTTTGTTTGTTTTTTTCCAAGTATCTAGCTCTTAGGGAACAATTGTTATTGAGAACTGTGAACTGACTCATTCATTTCAATGGAGGTGCTAACTTAAATTCCCAATTACAATTTAAACATGGTCATGATGATAACTGCATGTAAGGAAAGAAAGGAGAGGGATGAAAATCTGCACAGTCTGAGGCACTAATTTCTTTTTGACTCAACAATTAAATGTTGCTTGGGAGGGGGACACCAATTTTTTCCCCCAATCCAGTGACACATCTGAGCTTCTCCTCCTCCATGGTTGGGGATTGCTTTTTTTTCTGGAAAGGTGGCTCCTCCCTGTGCTGGAGGCTGTCTGCAGGCTTGAGCAGACATTGCTGTATTAACTAAACTTGGGTTGCTTTCAGGATTTTCTTTGCAGCTATGATGACTATATTTTTTTAAATTGAAAACTTAGATTCTGATGTCATTGCACGACACTAAGAGCCAGAGTGCTAGGCGTGTGCCTATTTTTCCTTTGCCTTATTCCAGACTTGCCTGGGGATATCTGAACCCATTGCAGAGGAGCCAAGCCTAAGGAATCCATCAGATCTTGTATGGTGATGTTTTGAATATCTGCACAGTCTAATATGTGTGGCATCTCATTTTGGTTTCTGAAGGAGGCAGAGCTTGTGAGACCAGTGCTTTTTCCAGTTTGAGTTCTGTATGTCTTGTCGTCCTAGCAGAATCCTTGCTAATAATCTCGAGTAAATTTTACTGTGATCTTATTTTTTGACAAGGCATTTCAGATCACTTGGGGTAATGTAAGAAATTATCTCAGGACAGATTACTATGCCGTGTATGGTAATAGTTGGAGGTGGAGAGGGAGAATGCTAATTGTTACAAATAGAGCCTCTCTAGTGATGGGAGAAGACTAGCTGGAAAAGATGTTTGGTCCTTGGTGCTTCACTGGCTTTAAATGTTCTTTTTATAGGACCTCCTTTCATCTCCGTAAGCTTAATGCTGTTGTTCAGGGAATTCTTAAGGTGTTGGAGGTCTGAAAACAAAAGTAGTTTATGGGACGCAATTACGCAGCCAATTCTAACCCAACCCGGAAGTTTATGTCCTGAACACGTGTTTGTGGGCAAGGTTAGGAGGCTGAGGGTCGCTGACCCTTTAGTGAGAGGAACCTGTTCGTTAATATTTGTGTGAATAATGAGCAAAGTGCTCAAGGGTCCTTGCGACCAACTGGGATCAATGTTGGGATTGAATGCCACAAACAGTAACGATTAACGAATGAGCCTCGAGGTCCAGTTCACTCTGACAGCACACCACAAAGGTTGCTAAGGAGAGTAATCACTTAACAAGGAAATGCTCTTAAACTTTGTTGAGAAGAGAGGCAGCACCTTTTTCAGTCACTATGAATTTTTAAAAAAAAAAGTATAAGATCCCAACCTTTTTATTTGAGGGGGACGTTACATCTGTTAAAAAGTTCTTTCTGAAGTAGATACATTCTTAGAAGGTCATGGATCCTGTTAAAGAATGGGCTAAGCTAGTGGTTTTCAAACTGCGGGTCGTGACCCAGTACTGGGTCACGGAATGTAAGGCAATGGGTCACGGCAGTTCTGGTGAGCACCACCGACCAGGCTGTTAAAAGTCCTGTCGGTGGTGCTGCCCGGCTAAGGCAGGCTAGTCCCCACCTGTTCTGATACCACACTGCTAACTGAGAGCTGCCTGAGGTTAGCCTGCACCCCAGCCCTGAGGCCCCCCCCAACCCAGAGCCCTCTCCTGCACTCTAAACCGCTCATCCCTGGCCCCACCCCAGAGCCAGCACCCCCGCACCCCAAACCTCTGCCCCAACCCTGAGCCCCTCCCACACCCTGAGCTCCTCATCCCCAGCTCTGTTGAGAAGCAGGCATCAACAATTATCTTCAACTGGGTTGCTAGGAAAAAAAAAGTTTGAAAACCACTGTGCTAATCAGTTGAAATGTAAAGGGAAACAGTTTAAAAGTATCTGACAAATTTACAAACCTGATTTATCTTTCACTGTTTTATTTAGGAAAAAGAAAAGGAGTACTTGTGACACCTTAGAGACTAACCAATTTATTTGAGCATGCATCCGATGAAGTGAGCTGTAGCTCATGAAAGCTTATGCTCAAATAAATTGGTTAGTCTCTAAGGTGCCACGAGTACTCCTTTTCTTTTTGCGAATACAGACTAACACGGCTGTTACTCTGAAACCTGTTTTATTTAGGCTGCTCGTTGCATTTTTATGTTGTGTATGGTTTATTGCATTTTTTTTTTTTTGCAGTGTATGGTAGCAACTGGAGGTGGAGAGGGAAAATGTTTGCATGGAAGCTACAGCAAGGATTTTAGTGTTAAAGGGTGAGCAAAGGCTTTTAGCACTCTTGACAATAAGATGTGTTACCTTGGGTTTTTAGCATTCCACATGGTGTGAGACATTAGGTTCACAGGGGCTATGCCATAGGCATCAATTCTTTAAATATTAGCCAGTGGCTTGGAGGGTTTGGTGGAAGCCACTGCAGATTGACTGACTGTGGCAATTGCAAACACACAGTTAAATGCAATTTATGAATAGAGAAGTTCTAAAAATGTCATGGTATATTTAGTGTTGTGTGACCTGTAGGGGAGCTTTTTTTAAAACGGAAAATCTTTCTGGGCTTGAAGTTATTACCACCCTTCTTTCCTTTTGGGGAAAAAAGTAGGCTGGACATCTGTTTCTGAATATTTTAGATTTATGCTGCTGCTTTTGCACTTTCCACCAGGGCTAAAACAGGGAAGGTGCGAGACAAAGATTGGCAGGTTGGCACGGATACATGCCGTAATAAAAACGGTGTTGAGAATATTGGCAGTTGTGTTTTGTTCTTAAATCAGAAGCTTATTTTGCGTGATTTGAGAAGAAATGGGTTTATGTAATACATAATGTTAATGAAACCCTCTTTTACCTTGAAAAAATAGCTTTGTAGTGGCATCATACAAAATGTGTTCTGAGCCATTTTTGTACCATCTTTTTTGTTATGACAGTAACTTGGATTTTTCTTTCTGCTTTCTAGACAAAGTGAGTTGTACCATTGCTGTCAAGGTATCTATTAGTTGTATAACAATTTTTTGTTTTGTACTTCAGCTTTTTTTGTGACTCTTCTAACAGGTTGGGTCTTGTTGCTTAGTAGTATTGGGACAGTTTACAGATGACTTTAAAAAAAATTCAACAATGAGAATTTTAGGGAACAGCTTGTAATATTGTCAACTCTTTTTAAAGCAACTTTTGTGGGGATCTTGGAATGCAAGAAATAGCAGCTTTTGATAAAGTAACTTTTGCTTATGCTAACTAAAAAGCCTTATACTTTGAAAAAATTATGGAGTTGTATTTTGACTTGATTAGCTTAGTTTTAGGTTTGATTACCTGAATGTAAGAATATAAACAATAAGGTATTAAGATGTAGCTTTTTTTCTGATGTACTTCTGTTGTGTTTTTGGATTCTAAATTAAAGCAAAACTGAGTAGTTGAAACTTATATGTTGGGCTTAGTTATGTGGGTTAAGTTTCACAAAACATAAGATTAGCTATTATTTATTGAATGTTTTTAACTTCAGTGACAGTGTCAGGAGTTCAGTATTCCCCTAGTGTTTGCAACCAGAACACTATAGCTTTGTTCAGATTATTCAGAAACCAGATTCCTGAAACTAACTAGTCCAGAGTCATCCAAACTGAATGCTATGCAAGTAAACCGTTGCAGTTCTTTTATTTAATCTAAATTGTTAGCAATAGATATTTTTAAAGGGAATTTAAAAGTGGAGGGACTTATGTGAGGGAGAGTGGCAATTGGGATGTCTTCTGGAGATTATTGTGATCATACAGCTGGAGTGCTTAAATTATATAAGGGTGAGTATAAAACTAAACTTGGTTATTCTAGGACAGGGGTTCTCAAACTGGGGGTCGCGAGCTGTCAACCTCCACCCCAAACCTCGCTTTGCCTCCAGCATTTATAATGGTGTTAAATGTATAAAAAAGTGTTTTTAATTTATAAGGGGGGGTCGCGCTCAGAGGCTTGCTATGTGAAAGGGGTCACCTGTAAAAAAGTTTGAGAGCCACTGTTGTAGGAACATATGAATTGCTATACTAGTTCCAACTAGTGGTCATCCTTTGTAGACCCTGCAGTAGGCAGGTATGAGATAACTTGCCCCCACGGAAAGCTTCTTCCTACCCCTTTTAGTTGTTGGCTTATACTCAAGCATGAGTATTTATCTCTTGTTTGTTAATATTTATAACCCGGGATATTCTTAATATATACGCTAAACTTTTAAGTGTCTTGCTTTGAGTTCCACAGACTAATTGTCCATTTTGTAAGAAAGTCTTTTTTCACCCCAGTTTTGGATTTGTCCCATCTCTGTTCTCTAAATCACCCCTTATTGCTATATTATGGGAGAAGATAGATTGAAAACTTCTGTTCACCCCATTCATTGTTTTTGCATACTTTTATCATGCCCCCTCACTCAACTCCACTTTGATAGACAGTCCCAATCTTTTCCGTTGCCTTTCATGAGATTTTCCCTGTGCTTAATCATTCTAGTCACCTGTCTCTAAGCTTACTTTATTTCCGCCATCTCCTGATAGAGATGGGGTGACCAAAACTAAACACAGTATTCCAGGTGGGGACATTTTGTTGATTTGTAGAATTCCATTATGATTTCCTCATTTAGTCTCTCCCCATTCACCTTTACACTGTGTGCTCTTTTGGCCACATTGAGCAAAAGTCTTCATTGAGCTAGTAACAGTGATATGCAGGTTTCTTTACTGGGTTCTAAGTAAACTATCAATTCAGAAAAGCGTGTGCGTACTTCACATTGAAGGGAATAATCTGCATTACTTTGCATATGTCCACATAGAACTACTACTTCCACTATGAAGTTCTTTCTGAAGTTCCTGGAACTTCTCCAGTATTGACTAAACCATGTCTTCTGCAAATTTTGTTGCCTTGCTACTCCCACCCTTTTCCAGTTAATTTATAAATGTACTGATCACTGCCAGTTCCAGTCTGGAACCTTGTGGCATCCCACTGTTAACCTTTTCTCAGGATGACAATTAATCATTTTTTCCTACTTTGATTTTTGCCTTAATCCAGTTTCTCAACTGACTAGTTTTTTTAGTAGCCTCTTTTGGGGGATGGTCAAAGGCCTTATGAAAGTTTAAATTGTCACCTTTTTCTTTTATTTGTTTATTGACTTATTCAGATAATTCTAAAAGACTAGTGAGATGGTTTTTCTTTGAGGAAGCAGCAGTGCAACTAGATCTCCTCATCATGATGTTCTAGGTATCTTATATTTAATTCAACCAAGTACAGAAGTAAGGTCACTCTGAATGCCTTAAAGAAAAAAGAAATGCCTTAAAGAAAAAAGTACAATATTTGTTACCCTATAATACTTTGATATAATATCTGGCTTTAATGGGATTATATGTTTTACTGACAGTTAAATCTGGATGTGTCCTCTTCGATTTGGGGCTCTCTCTGTCCTCACATCTTGGCCGTGTCTAAGTCTTGTCTTTTTTTTCTGCATAACATCTCTAAGATGCAGCCTTTCATCTTCATCCCTACAATTAAAACTATCAAGTAAGCTCTCAGCTCGCATCTTGATTACTGACTGCAACATCCTTCTTTTTGGCTTTTACAATCCAATCCAGCGTCACCCCCTCTTCAGATTCCTCCACTGGCTTCTCTTTCTCGATCGTATCAAACATAAGCTACTTGTATTCACTTCCAAGGCCCAGAGCTGTAGCTCACGAAAGCTTATGCTCAAATAAATTGGTTAGTCTCTAAGGTGCCACAAGTACTCCTTTTCTTTTTACTTCCAAGGCCCGTCAGTCAGTCCCCATCCTACCTATTATCTCATTTGCTGTTGAGCTGTCAATGCCAGCTTCTGCTTGTCTACTTGTTATATTTTCAAACAAGCACATTCCTGTCTTCCCCCATGCTGCCCATTTGCTTGGGAAGTTTCCCTGTAAAAATCTACAAAGCCATCTCATTATGCAACTCCAAAACCCCCCAAAAGCTCTCCTTTGCCATGATGCTACAAAAAAAATTAACAGGCTGTTGGTGTGGTGAAATCACTGCCTGTCGTATTGACCAACATTTCCTCATTGTTTCCTTGTGCTCCCCCATATGTGTCCATCTGTTGTCTCTTGAGGGCCATCTTTTTGTTCTGTTTGTACAGCATCTAGCAGTGGGGTCCTTATCCTTGACTAGGGCTCCTAGACACTATGGTAATAGCTACTAACTTCATTCTTAAACTGATTTACTGAATTTACATTATCCGTTCCAGCATGTTTTTCTTTTGACACCTCAATCTTTGCCAGTACCTCTTCTGTTACTAGAAGAGAGCAGGTATCTCCTCAACAATGGGCAGTCTAGAACTAGGGAGCACAAGAATTTTGGATCTTTGAGCTTTGTTTGTTACCTGTTCTGGCAATTGTCAGCAGTGTAGGTGCTGTTAACCAAGTGTTGAACATATCTTAGCTATGAGTGCAGACAAGGATAAACTGCTTAGCATTGTTTTGAAAACTTTGGATAAAACCATGTTTCTGAAACAATGCTGAATGTTTTGTCCTTTTCTATGCTTACAGCTAAACAGAGTTCATCTACACAGAGTGCAGACACCTGTAGTCAACAGTGAGTAAACTCTAGGAATTCAAGCAAGGCTATACAGAAAAGTGAGTAACTGTAATGTTTGAGCAAAAACTGAGTCCCTTTGTGGAATAAAAGCGGATATTTGTATTATGATTTGTAATAACTGGGCTTCCCCTCTCCCCCAAAAACATGGAATATTTGACTTCTTAATTTACTCCAGGACAGTATTAAAACTTAATTTTAACAGGTTTCAGAGTAACAGCCGTGTTAGTCTGTATTCGGAAAAAGAAAAGGAGTATTTGTGGCACCTTAGAGACTAACCAATTTATTTGAGCATAAGCTTTTGTGAGCGATGAAGTGAGCTGTAGCTCACGAAAGCTTATGCTCAAATAAATTGGTTAGTCTCTAAGGTGCCACAAGTACTCCTTTTCTTTTTAATTTTAACAGCTATCCTATACATGAAAAGCCCATGGCCTACCTTTTGCTCTGAGTGTCCCAATGCTGACTTAATACATTAAATACAGCAGTTGACCATCTATCCTGCTCACTATGTGAAAAATTATCTCAAATTCATTTATGGTACAAAAACTAAAAGATTTTTAGTTTAATATAAAACAAGTATTTCTAGAACTACTTAATTTTAACTGACTTTTCCTAAATTCTTGTCTCATTAAGCAGGTACAGAATTGTTATAGGCTAAACAAACCAATTATTTTTAACTACTAGCTAAGTACTTCTCCCTGCTTAGGCAATGTGCTTTAGGGGCTGTTCTTAAAGGGATACAACATAAATGGCACTTCCATCTCACCACTTTTGCCTACTAGTATTACTTGAAACTCCTACAATTACCAAGACAAAGGCTAGAAGAAAGCTTTTTAAACTTTGTTTACTTTATGCATTTGATAGCATCTTGTGAATAGTTAGGTTTTCATTGGATCCCCTGTTTATGTAGATCTTGTACGTAAGTGAGAAATATTTTTTAATTTTGAAAAATTGAGCACAAAACCACAGGCATTGTCAAGAGACTCTGGGCACATTTAGATCCTGAAACTTGTTTTATGAAAGTGACTGACTAATTTGACTGTGCCCTTAGAAATCAGATAAAGAAATATAAAATGCTAAAGGTTTTGCAGGATAAACAATGATTACAATTGTAACTTGTGGTCTTATTTATTTTTGTTTTAGAGATGGTGGAGCCAGGACAAGATCTGTTGCTTGCTGCTTTGAGTGAGAGTGGAATCAGTCCAAATGATCTATTTGATATTGACCCTGCGGACATGGGCCTTGCAACCCCAGCACCAGCGCCAGCTGTTCAGCAGGTTAAAAATGAGAGCTTTTTAAAATTAACCAATATTGCATAATATAGAATCATAGACTTTTTTTGTTAACGGTTGTGAAAGAATGGAGTTGTTGTATGTTTTCATTGCTATGCTGGGCTTGTGTATGGAAAAAATTGAGATGGTAATCACCTGTCTTAAATATGTATTTTAGAAATCAAAATTATGTACGTTATTGACTGAACTTGTATTAATATGAGTTATATATACTTTCTAGGGCCACAATGTCATGTATCCACACATAGAACTTCCATTGATATGTCTTGGGTGGCTTTTCTCTCCTTCGAAGCAAGAGAGAGAATTGATTTAATCTCTAGGACAGCTTACACACCCCAAGAATGGAACACATTTTTGGACATGGACCAGAAAACAATAGACTGTCAACAGAAATGAAATTGCAAAACTCGCTCAGTTTTCGCAGCCGTTAACTGGAAAGGCTTTATGCTTGAATCAATTTTGGGGGCAAAGTCAATGGCTTGGTGTGCTACCATCTTGATTTCTAATGAAACCAGGATTATTAACAGGCAAAGTTGGTCATTAGTTTTAAAATGGGGGGGCGGGGATAGTAGTAAAGGTTTTCATTCTTTTTTTCCTACTAAAACTAGTACCTGATCGTGCTTGCTTTCTTTCTCTCTAGTCAGTGCCACTTAGTGCATTAGAACTAGGCTTGGAGACTGAGGCAACAGTTGCTGTTAAACAAGAACCAGAGACTGTATCTACTCCAGCACTATTAAATGTCAGGGTAAGAGCTGACATGTTTAGAGTTTTGTATGTGTAAAATAGTGAAGTGAAAAAGTGAGGAAGGCCTAAAAATTGTTGGCTCTTAGCCATCCCTTCAGTATAGTTTGTAATACAGATAAAAATTCTTTCCCTGCTTTTTCAGTAACACTCACTTTTGAAGGGTTGGCCTGATGTGTAAGAGATGCCATGTGTTAGATCAAGCCAGATTTAAAGGGAAAAATTGTTTAAGGAAGAGCCCAGTTTCATTTCTTATGAGTACATTTAGAATAAGGATGCCATTAAACCTGATGCTTTTAGGTACCATATATTATCCTAAATTGGGAGACTGAGAATTCTGGATGTATTATGCGGAATATCAGTTAACATAGAAGTTATGAACAAGATAATCTTTATCTTTCTAAAGATAACATAAAGTAGAAGTAGATCAATATCTTGAGGGTAGGGTTATCAAAGAATCTCCACAGAAAAAGGAGTTCTAAAATAGACATTAGTTGATTTATAAACTAATGGTAAAACCATGTTGTGCAGTGTGTAAGATTTCTTTACAACCCAAGCTTCTCCACACAGCGGATGTACTTTGTGTCTGAACGGTGAAATCCTTTTTTCTTACCTGTTCTTTCCTCTTCTCTTTGGAAAAAAAACCTGTGAATCTGGATCCTCCCATGAAGCAACACTCATGCATTTTGGAAGAAGCTTCTTTCTCAGGCTTCCACATCCTGAGATAAAATGGCATTCTGTCATCAGTTGGTTGTGCTATGGAAAGATAATATTGACAGTCCACCAACTTAAGAACAAAAAAACCCCTCACACTGCTTAAATTGATACCTCCTGTCCTCTAGCTGAAAGGCATATAACAGAAGTTTTGCTTTCCGAGTATTGTCACTTTTGAGAATCATCATGATATTTCCAAAACAGGAAAATCTCACATTTTTGTTTTTCTTTTCTAGCAGCCACCATCAACCACAACCTTTGTGCTGAATCAAATAAATCAGCTTCCAACTTTGGGGACTACAATAGTAATGACAAAAACCACACCTGTGACAACTACTAGGCAGACCATCACTGTAGCAAAAATCATTCAGACCAGCACAACGACTCGACCATCGGTTGCAGCACCAGCAGTACGCAATGCCTTGACCACTGCACCTTCAAAGGACCAGGTCCAGCTGAAAGATCTGCTCAAAAACAATAGTCTTAATGAACTAATGAAATTGAAGCCACCTCCGAACATTGCCCAGCCAGTTGCAACAGCAGCTAGTAAGTGGTTCTTTCCCCTTCATCATGTGCATTTTGTTTCAGAAATGTGATACTGAAATAATCTAATAAAGAGATCTTGGTGGTGGTCTTTTTGGCTCTCCGTGGAGTAAGAGAATAGAATAGCACAGTAACATTAAAATTGAGCCTAGAAAACCTGGCATATGTTGGACTCCATACTTTATTTTTGGAATGTTGAGAAGTTGGAAGCGGCACAAAATGACTGAATTTTTAAAAACTCAAGAACCCTTTGATATGTCCTTTTAAGAATTGAGACAAACTGAAGATAAATTTTTAAATAGGAAGCTGGTAAATGACTGACGTTAGTAATGTTTTGTATATAGCAATTTGTTAATCTTGTTGAAGTTGCATTATTTGAACCTATGCCATTGTCTAATCTCGTGTGTGCACGCGTGCTAGGGGAGTATTGTCCTTAAATGATAGTCACAACCCTTTCTCTCTCCTTCCCAAAAAGAATTTTAGAGCAAGCTAGTATTTTTGACTTCTAGCCATGTTTCTCTAAAGCATCCATTGGGGAGGGAATAAACAGAAATCTGTGCACTTAAAAAAAACAAAACAAAAAAAAAACCCTCTTTTGTGTTGTAATGTTAAAATCTATTGTGGGTGGTGGCTAATCTTTTTATAGACAATTTAGTGCTTCTCCAATACTCCATATTTAGGGGGAAATTGTTACAGGAATAGTTAAATGGTAAGTTACAAATATTGGGAGATCTAATATGTATAAACATCTGAGATCCTGTGGCAGGATCAAGCCCAGAAACTTAGCTACCAGCTTCACCTTAAATATAGTTGATGCGGTACTGCGGAAGTTTTTGCAAGTCGTGTGTGTGTGTGTGTACGCACGCACCCACCCCCTACCCCCACATAGAAGACTTGCAAAAACCATTTATAATTAGTTTACTTTAAGCAGCACTTTGGGTATAGATAGTTTCACAGTTTTCTTTCACTATGTAGAGAACTTTCCCTATTGTGTTGATCTTTCCATACAGGCAGATAAGGACTTAAAAAATAAAGAAACTCCTGACATGTGGTACCTGAAATTTTAACTTTCAAGTTCACAATGCACCCCTTTAAACATTAACATGGAATCAGAGGGAGAATTTTTGTTGCCTTAGCGTAATGATTATGTGCCTAGTCTTTTTACAGGGCATGTCATTGTCTCCAATATAGTAGTAACTTCTTGATGTATTTTGTCAGTTGCTGAAGTAGAGTTGAGTCCAATATAACTTTCAGTAGCTTGAGAATTTCTTTATTTTTTAAAAAAATAAACAAGTAGGATATAGTATAGATGAGGCTGGCTGTGAAGACTAGAACAGGAACACAGTCGCATGTCCCATCTTTGTTCCAACTGTTTTCCCAGTCTCCACCAAGATTATAGGTGACTAAAACTAGCTAAAGGTTGAGGTGCTTAATCCGGAAAAACAAGTCAGTGATGCTATAAAGCTTTAACTCCGTTCCCTTATCTCATTTGTGCTTAATGGAAGGCTGTATACCTGATGGAAGATATTATGGAATATCTGGATGATATTCCAAATTCGGGAAGGTGACATTGGTTTTGTAACACACAACTGCTGAACGTATAATTCAGCTGTCCTATGAAAGGGAAGGTTTTTTTTTAAACAGCCCAGGGTCTACAGAAAGCAGACTCTTTTTTTTCTCTTCCCTGATGACATCTTTGCAGAAACGCTTAATAGAACTTGGAAGAATGACGCTTTACAACAGAGCATTTAAATGCTGTCTTAGTATATAATATATAATTTTTAGCTTTTTGTATTTTTATTTAACTCTTCTTACAAAAGTAACCTCTGCAAGTCTTACATTTAACTTATACTTTTGCTTTCACATACTGGAAGCTTGAAAGATAGCTCCTTAACTAAAACATTCACTGTATCCATCCTTGTATAACTATTTGTCTTAGATCTGTACTGTGAGTCTCATCACCATTAAATTCTAAAGGGAGGAAAGTGAACAAATGTCTTGTTGTCCATTTGTAGCATTTAAAACAATTCAGTCCAACATGTTAACTTTCTTGCAGAAATAATTGTAGTGTCTCCAAAGGTGGTAAACGCCACCAAACCAGGTAAGATCACATCTCTCGATAAAACTGGGTTTGTGGTTTCCTATTAAACTGCCTTAGCTCTCACTATTAAATGGCCTATATAGGGATTTGGTGAAGGTGTCTTCTCTTTAAGTTACATTTAATAGACTCACGCATCTCTCTCAGATACGATGGTACTGGTTAAACTAAAGATTTAAGTACATGTGGCTCCCTCAGAAGGAGGCAACAGGACTAATTTCAGGCACATTCAGAGTTCTATAGATAAATATATTTGGCTATTGTTCTTGAGGAAGTCAGTGTACTATCAAAGATTTCAGATCTTCATTTCCAGCTACCTTGACTGTGTGATGTGTAAATCAATACAACAGAGAAAATGTAAGGAAAATTATTAATTTCTGTAAAATGTAATTTTTCTTGTAGCTGATCTAAGCAATGGTGCTGTAAAGAAGGAGGCATCTACAAAAGAAGTAACAAGAATATGGGTAAATGATGTAAAAATGAGAAGTTATTCACCTACTATGGTGAGTAGTAAGAATGAATGGATATAGTTTCTTAAATGAGTTTTATATATAAATGGTCCCAACTGTCTTTATCTAGTTTCAGCAGTTGCTCCTGTAAGTTTCCTAGGTTTCCATAACCACTTAGCACATCTGATTCTGAAGGAGAATTTTCCCTGGCTGCTGTAGTTGTGGAGTGGTTGGTCCAGGCAGACCATATCTCCAGAGCAGTTTCCATGTGAGCTAGGGTGGGAGTCATATGAAGGTCAGGCATCTTTCACAAGAACCCACTGTGCATGCTGATGGGTAATCCTACCTGACCGAAGCTGATGTGCAGCTCTCTCACTCTGCTTTTGGAAACTTCCTCTGTATAAATTTCCCTTCCATGCAGCCAGATACACAGCTCCCCACAGTTTGGGGCTTTTAATGTTTCTGCAGCAAATTGGACCAGCCTTGGGTTGTATGACCATAAGACTCCGTTTCTTCTCCCATTGATATGCTAGGTGTTTAGTGAATAACTAGCACTGATACCATTGAAACGCGCTTAAATCGTACTTCAATGGGAACTAGATTCAAATGAGTCTAGTGTGTGATCTCCAGTATGGCACCTGGAAGCTGTCTAGATCTTTAATATTAAAAGAGCTATCTGATGCGGAAGGGTTTTGTCTTCTGGGATGGAGGATGTTTCTTTTCTGCTTTTAAAAAAAAAAAAGTGCTTCAGGTATCTGTTGTATAGTAGCCTAGGCCACGGGATGATAATGGGCTATTGTCATCTCTTGGTGAGTAATATTGGGTACCACAGTGGTGGGTGCATTACATATGCATACTGTCCAATACTTCAAAGTCATTTGAATCTTTAACCAATGGAAATCTGCAACAGATTTCACAGAAATATTTACTTGAAGGTCTTTTCCTTTCTAAGTTACTTTACAGGTGTGTATGTTGAGATACACTCTCAAATGCACGTCTGTGAACCTACATTTAATCCGTGGCACACTGACTGACTGCAGTAAAATAAAATTGTACTCCTTTTTAGCACCCCTTTATCTAAACATGAGTTATGTCCCCTGTGTGTCCCTGGTTATGTAGACTTATGCCCTGAAGTTTTGAATTCATGGCAAGGCAAACAAATAGCTTCCCATTGGTTCTCATTACATTTGGATAATTGAAGTTCAATTAAAATTTATACCAACTGGTACATAAAGTCAGCTTTAAAAACTTTATAAAACAGTTGGTCCACTGGCTTAGTTGCAGTGCTCACGCTACTTTGCAGATTTTAATTTTTTTGGCTCACATTTCCTATGCTAGTATCATTTAACTCACTTTCCAGTGATACTGGCATCCAGTGGAATGCCACTGTCTGTGAAGGGAGTCCCTACAAAAAGAATATGGCTGTTGAAGCCTTCTGGAATCTTGTAATTGATGTTCCTATTGCTCTCTGGTTCAGGTAATGCACTATTATGAAAACACTACTAATGTCAATGTCTGTATTCTAGCTTCCACTCAATGTTCCTGTACACTTCTAGGATGTTGAACATCAGCAATATATTATTTGACTAATGCAGATATATTTGTATTGTAGAAAGTGCCAGTAATAAAAGAGGAAGAGGAACCTGAGGAGGAGGATGAAGAAGAAATGGGTCATGCAGAGACATATGCAGAGTATATGCCAATAAAATGTATGACTCTCTGGTTGCATCCAAAAACTGAAGCTTTTTAAATGGTTTAGTGCCCAAATTCCTAACAGAATATGTAGAGAGAGAATAGTAATGCTTTATAATGCATCAAAATTAAATAACTAAAAGGGGACCAGATTTTGCTCTTTGTGGAGAAAATTGCCTTCTCCTGCAACGGTCAACTTTTGAAAGAGGCTAAGATATTTGAACTTGGCCTTGGACAGGTCTGATACTTTTTTGGTTTAACTTTCTGTCAGTAGTTCATGAACAATGGTAAGTTTTTACAGTAACATAGTTGGTAAGCCAAAACTTTGGCTTGCCCATGGTCTTTAGAATTGTGTCCATCTATGCACATAATTTTAAAATAAACAGTTGTTCCTGACTGCTCAGGCCTGAACTGTTGTCTTCATATTAGGGGGCTTCGTCTTATTGGCCAAGTACAGCATTTCAGTAACTTGATTACTGAGCAGTCACTAGCCTCAATCTAAGCATGGCTGGGGAAGTGTTTACGTGTATGTAATTTAAGTGCGTGGTCAAATTTGGCCCTAAATTTTATTTTTTTTAGCAGCTGTTATAGAACCAAAGATTAGTAAAAGTATTTCCACAGTTTATCTTATTTCAGAAATAAATTATCTTTAAAACAAATGAACATTACTCTGCAGATGTATACTTAAACTTTGCAGCACTAAGAATATGGAAGTAACTGACTTAATTGATTTGTTTCACTGTCCAATCTGACATGTAAATAGAACATAAATAACGACATTAAATTGCTAAAAATTTAACTTTTAATAGCTCATGGTGTTCCTAACAGGTTTAAAAAAAATTACAGCATGATTTTAAGCAGTGTTTGAATCCCTTGGTTCATACTGCATACAAATATAGATCTGTTGAAGGCAGACCCCCACTAAAATGTTCATACTTTTAAGGGCAAAAGTTACCAATAAGATTGTCTCTGTAGAACTCCAAGATACACAAGCAATAGAATTTCACCACATGTTGTAACTTTAAAACTGATAGTTCTTTTCCATATGCGTCCAAAAAATGTTTTGCTTTCCACTGTCACTTCATCCTGGTTGCCTTTTATTTTTCCACAGCAGGATGTGGCACCAATTTCCTCCCCTGGTCTTACCAAAAAAGTAAACTTTATCCTTTTCAGCAGCACTGTAGTAACCCACTGCTCCTAAGGCTTCTCCTTTTATTCTTGCTTTCACTGCTGCTTTCAGTTGAAGAGTTCGCTCATTGGAATAAAAAGATTTAAGAGCTACACCCATTATGGTCAGTGTGTTGGAAAGACATATGACACTTTTTCTGAGCAGTTAATGTAAAATTGCACTCCTAAGTGTATTACCTTACTGAAACGTATGTAACAGATTTTGTGGGAACCCAAGGAATGTAAGATTGTAAATCTTTATTCATCTTTTATTACAGCTCAACATGAGTGAAATACAGGAGTTTAGTTTAAGCAATTCAACATGTCACAAAACAGAAACTGGTTTTCAAATGCCCGTAAGCTCCCATATTGATGACATTGCCGTAGTCTCAACTGCTATTTGTAACCAAATGGTACAATACTTTTGAGAACATTAAGTCTATTTAAGTGACCTGCAAAGCTTTTTGGATTTTTTCTAAGAGCCCTCATATGACAGCATTTGTTTAAGTTCTCGTAACACTTTAAAAATTCTTTTTCGATCTTGTATTCCTTGGAGTGTGTGTCTTGGAAGTGCCTTTTCTCTCAGTTCATGTAACTTCATTTTTTTGTGGATTAGTGACATCACAAACCCAGTGGAACTGTGTGCTAATCACTGACTAATCTGAGCTGCTCCTAGTCAGACTCTTCTCTTCCCACACTCTGTGCTATAAGATAGTTTGACCACGTACACAATCTAGCAATGTGTAAATAAAGACTGGTTGAGGAAAGCTATGTATATGTTCTTGATATGAAAACGGCAGTGATGTCGTCAGAGAGCAGAGCTTAAGTCCTTCAGGGGACTTTTCTGTGAGGGAAGGCAGAACTCAGAGCCATTAGTTTTAACTTAAAAGGGGATTTTGAGAAAGCAGAAGTGGATCTTCATGGACCATGAGTCTTACAAGCTGAAAGTGAACAAACTCAAAAGCTTCGCAGGTCACCTTTAAATTACTTTCATTAATGAAGTCGTGGATTAATGCATTCCTTTTTCTTAAAGGGACACCATTTCATATATTAAGAGCAGAAGCTGGATTCAAAAGCGCATAGGAATTTAGAGTTGTCCTGCATTTAACCTTAATCGTGAATCAAAAACACCTAGTCTTGGAAATTGTTATGGGGTTTTATCCACTTCTGAAATAACTAATGTAACGAGTGAAACTGTTCTGAATTATGTTTAGAACTACTGTTTTTTTCCCCAAACTAGTAAAAATTGGTCTACGTCATCCTGATCCAGTAGTCGAAACAAGTTCGTTATCCAGTGTAACCCCTCCTGAAGTATGGTATCAGACATCAATATCTGAAGAAAGTATTGATAATGGTTGGCTGTCGGCATTGCAACTTGAAGCAATTACTTATGCAGCTCAGGTATGTTGCACTATAGTATTTTTTAAATATTTTATTTTCAGAATACAAAGGTCCACTGAAGGACTAAGTATTGCCTTTCAGGATCAGCTTGTGAAAGGGGGGAGGGGATAGTGTGGACTTGTCTGTTCCTGCCGGAATCTATAAATGATGCACTTTTGAAAACTTGTTTTCTTTCACAGCAACATGAAACATTCCTGCCTAATGGAGACAGAGCTGGATTCTTGATAGGTGATGGTGCTGGTGTAGGAAAAGGAAGAACCATAGCTGGAATAATCTATGAAAATTATCTGTTGGGTAGAAAAAGAGCTGTATGGTAAGTTAACGATTTGTGATGGTAAATTTTGTAGTTATTACAGTATTTAAAGTTAATGTAAGCTCTTTTGGACAAAAGTCTTGGATTGTTGGTCTTTTGCTTCAATAATTTTACAGATTATATGCTTTTTTTTTTTTTTTGTTTTGTATCCAGGTTTAGTGTGTCAAATGATCTGAAATATGATGCTGAAAGAGACTTGAGGGACATTGGAGCAAAAAATATTTTGGTTCATTCATTAAACAAGGTGTGGAAACTTTTTACTATGTACAATTGAGGCAAACCTTTAGGTACGCTTGTGTGATGACATACATGTTACTGTTTAAAATTAATACCATTCTTAAGTTTTATGTTGAAACAAACAGGATTAATGGTGACCAGATACTCAACACAATTAATATTAACAATAAGGGGAAAGGAATGCAAGCCAAATACCTATCTTTAAAAGGGGGAACAGAAGACCTAGGGAATTATAGACCAGTCAGTCTAACTTAAATATCTGGAAAGATACTGGAACAAATGATTAAACAATCAGTTTGTAAGGACCTGGAGGATAATGTGGTTATAAGAAGTAGCCAGCATGGATTTGTCCAGAACAGATCATGCAAAACCAGCCTAATTTCCTTCTTTTTTTTGACAGGTTTACAAGCTTAGTGGATAGGAGGGAAACAATAGAAGTGATATAGCTTGATGTTAGTAAGGTTTTTGACACAGTCATAACATGTCTCTCGCACAAGAAAACTGGGGAAATGTGGTCTAGATAAAATTACTATAAGGTGGGTGCACAACAGGTGGAAAGACCGTACTCATAGTAATTGTCAATGTTTTGCTGTCAAACTGAGAGGATGTATCCAGTGGGATGTCTCAGATCAGCCTCAGGTCTGGTACTGTAGTACTTTTATTAGTGACTTAGATAATGGAGTAGAGAGTATATGTATATAGTTTGCAGATGACTCCAAACTGGGAGGCTTTACAAGCATTTTGGAGGACAAGATTAGAATTCAAAAGAAGCTTGACAAATTGGAGAATTGGTCTGAATTCAACAAGATTAAAGTCAATAAATATCAGTGCAAAGTACTTCACTTAAGAAGCAAAAATCAAATGCACAACTACAAAATGGGGGAGTCGCTGGCTGTGGTAGAACTGCTGAAAAGGATTTGGGGGTTGAAGTGGATCACAAATTGAATGAATCAGCAATGTGACTTAACGGCAAAAAAGGCTAATATTCTGGGGTGTATTAACAGGAGTGTTGTAAGACACATGAGGTAATTGTCCCACTCTACTTGGCACTGGTGAGGCCACAGCTGGAGAGCAGTGTGCAATGCTGTGTGCCACATTTTAAGGAAGATGTGGACAAGCTGGAGAGAGTCCAGAGGAGAACAACAAAAATGTTTTAGAAAACCTGACCTATAGGAAAGGTTAAAAGAACTGGGCATGTTTTAATCTTGAGAGACGATGACTGAGGGGGGACTTTGCTAAAAATCTCCAAATATGCTAAGGTCTGTTATAAAGATGGTGAACAATTGTTCACCATGTCCACAGAAGCTAGGATAAGAAGTAATGGGCTTAATCTGCAGCAAGGGAGATTTTGGTTAGATATTAGGAAAACCTTTCTAACTTTCTAAGAGTAGTTAAACTCTGGAATCGGCTTCCAGGAGTGGTTGTGGAATCCTGAACATTGGAGGGTTTTTAAAAACAGGGATGGTCTAGGTTTACTTGGTCCTGCCTCAGCGCAGGGGGCTGGAGTTGATGACTTCTTGAGGTCCCTTCCAGCCCTACATTTTTTATAATTCCAAGTGACATGTAGATGTTTTTTTTCAGTTTGGCTCTAAACCTGCAAATAATTACCCATATACACCTAACTTCTAGTCAGAAGTTAAGGGCACTATTTATGCTTGAAGTCCTTTTAGAGCTGGGCAGGGAATATTGCTTCTTTTTTTTTTTTTTTTTTTGAGTTTGGCGTTTTTACTGCTTATTTTTCTTTTTAATGATAAATGGATAGCTAAAGCAGATGCCTTACTATGTAAGAGCTAAATGCTGTTACTGGTCATATTCACTGTCTGACTAAAAATGATTTTGCTTCCTCTTTTTAAAGTCTGTCAGACCAATGACTAGGAAACAGATGAGTAAATCATTGTTTTTTAGAACGTTAAGACAATTCACTTAGTAGCCACTGTAAATAAATTTGATCTCTTGGCTAAATGCTGTATTCAACTTTAAAAAAAAAAAAAAAAAAAAAAGGTCTGAGTACCTGTTGACTCATGATGACACATCTTGGCTTTACACTCGGGGAAACCCCTAAAAGGGGTGCCTAACCTGTAAAATCTGAAGCCATGGAAGATTATACCTTCCAGGATGCACTTACGAGAGCACCACCATACTATCGTCTTAACCATGTTCCCAGCTGCAAATTGGGATCTAATCCTATAAATTGAAATCACTGGTGACTTCACTGTTATGTAAGGAATGCCGAATCAGTGCTTCAATCAGTGTCACTCTTTGAGCATTCACTAGATGCATCCGATGAAGTGAGCTGTAGCTCACGAAAGCTTATGCTCAAATAAATTGGTTAGTCTCTAAGGTGCCACAGGTACTCCTTTTCTTTTTGTGAATACAGACTAACACGGCTGCTACTCTGAAACTTGAGTTGTGAGGTGTCTCTTCTTGACTAAGATGCAGACAGACCAATTTTTGTAACTTACTAAAATGTAACTTTGTCTCTTTTTTTGCAGTTCAAATATGGAAAAATTTCTTCCAAACATAATGGGAGTGTAAAGAAAGGTGTAATTTTTGCCACATACTCTTCTCTTATTGGTGAAAGTCAATCTGGTGGTAAATACAAAACCAGGTTAAAGCAGCTTCTCCACTGGTGTGGCGATGACTTTGATGGAGTTGTATCCTTTCATTTCTTAGTCTGCAACAGAAATAATTGAACCATAATATAAAACACACCTCTTTTGTTGGAAGGCAACCTTGTACATTTTATTTACAGTTATTTTAGGAAGGATGTTTTTCATTAATTTGAAACTATACAATTTGTCAGCCACCACAGACGTTTTCTAAATGCTTTATTCAAAACATGTAGCACACTGTACATGTGACCAACTAGCAGCCTGATTCTGGTCCTATGTTGGTGTAAATCAGGGATTGACTTCAATAGAGTTAATGAAGTTACATTGATGTAAACCAGAATGAGATCAGAATCAAGGCTTTGGTCTTTAAATAGGCAGGTTGAGCCTGGAATATGGTCATCAGAAACCTTACCTCTTGGTTAAATTGTACATAATTTCTTTCCAGTTCTTATGGCTTTTTCCTGTAAAATCTTTGGGGAAAATGCATAGTACTTCAAGAAAATTCATTCCAAAAATACATGAAAACATTATACTAAGTGTATATTTGAATCGTTTAAAATTGAATGTCTTGACATTGCTTTAAAAAAAAAAGTCAAATTGTTTCTGACTGAAGTCTGTGTAGAACATTTACTAATTAAAACTGATAGCTAATGAAAGTATAGAGTTCACTGCAAAAATCAATTAAAAAAAAACAAAACCCTCTGCATTCTAAGTGCCCTGTACTATATTGATTGTAGGATGCATAATTATTCCTTAATTAATGTTCAGATAGTATTTGATGAATGTCACAAAGCTAAGAATCTGTGTCCTGTTGGTTCTTCAAAACCAACAAAGACAGGCTTAGCTGTATTGGAGCTTCAGAATAAACTTCCGAAGGCTAGAGTTGTTTATGCTAGTGCCACAGGTAAGTATTACTTAATACAGATGTTTAGAGAAAACTGACTTTTTATTGGCATTGGTACAGTGTGTGCTATTCCTTTCAGGTGCATCTGAGCCGCGAAATATGGCATACATGAACCGTCTGGGAATATGGGGTGAAGGAACCCCATTTAGGGAATTCAGTGACTTTATTCAGGCTGTTGAAAGAAGGTAATGTAATGCGTTAAAGAATTATAGCAAGAACAGCTATAGTTGTGGCTGCATTATGGTTTCCAGTTTTCCATTTCAGCCCTGTTTTCAGTCACTTATAGTTCTGAAATTCTTTCAAGCTTGTTCTGTGTCTAAAAATGAACCTTTCTTAACTTTTTTAGCAAAAAATGAAGTAAATGGAGCTTGGGTAGGGATATACTTAGTTTAAAAAAAAAAAGCTAATTAACTTTCTAAAACCTACAATTGAAAAAGGTTGAGGTACAGTGGTTTTAAGTTAGAGAAGTGCAATTGGGTGTTGTGGTGAAATGTTTTTGATTTAATTGATCCTCATGAAAAGTACATAATGCACATACCCAGTACGCTTCATACAGGATAGATTTAGCTACAAAGTAAAAAGTGTAGTGAAGGGGCAAGCTGATTCTGGAGGTCTGGTGCACGGTGTATAAGGTCAACAGAAGTCCTGCTTCTCGGGGCTTTCTGGTGGTCCTTAGCCGGTTAGTTCCAGATTATGGAATTTACACTGTTCCTCGTTTAATGAAAACCGGAATACCTTTTAAAGAAAATGGGCACGTCATTCCCCAGAACTTTCAAATAATAAAAAAAAATCTGGAAAGTGCCATACAAAAGAATGCAAATGTAACATTCTCTAACCATTTAATTCCCATTTACGTGGTTATAGTATTTGAAAAATACATTTCATACATTTTTTCTAAATCTTAGATCCTCTTTGTGTATCATCTTGTATTGCGTATAACAGACATTGTTCTCTATAGGGACTATACTAGTACAAACATACTATGTGTTAAGTATGCAACAAAAGTGAAACTAAATATATATAGACCTAAATTTTCAGCTAAATTAACTTCATAGTTGACTACCTTAGCCCCCGCCTGCACCTAAAGCTGTGCTGATGGTTGAAAATAATTTAGAATACCTGGCTGCTTAAGAGCCAAATTTGGCTCTTATGCCAGTATAAATCAGAGTAACTGAATGAACAGAAAATGCACTCATTTAATACACTCTTGACAAATGTGTATTAAAAAAATCTGTCAGATAACTGTAACTTTGGCATGAAATTAGTGTAAGCATAAAAATGGAAAAAAAATTACAGGATGGCTACCCATGTATGTGTTAGGTCATTCGAAAGGTAGGCTGTGTGAGAATTATCTAAACGATCGTGTTACAGGGCATATTCAAAAGAAGGCAGAGTTATGGTTGTGCGTGCAGCCTGATCTCTAATATTTTCTGATTTGTGTTTAATTATACAACTCTAATGCTCACGCACATTGGTTGTATGGAATACATATTGGTTTATTATTTTTCATAGTGTACTTTTTAATATGCTATTTACTTCTAAACCACTTAATACTTTGTATTTTTGTTTTATTTTTGTTTTATTCAGAGGTGTGGGTGCCATGGAAATAGTTGCCATGGATATGAAACTGAGAGGAATGTATATAGCAAGACAGTTAAGCTTTTCAGGTGTGACCTTCAAAATTGAAGAAGTTCTGCTTTCACAGAACTACATTAAAATGTATAATAAATCTGTGAAACTGGTAAGAATTTATTCAGTTTTTAAATCTTCATGACAGTTTGAACTGGTAGAAGCTGAGAACTTAATGGGTGGAGATAATTTGCTGTCAGGCTAGGCATAGTGTCCTAATTATACAACGTATGCTGCTGTTATAGGAAAAGAATTAAATCCATTAGCTTTGCTTTAGTATGAAGGTTCCATTACATATGGCTTTTCTTTGGAGCAGGGAGTTGCTCTTACTCTGGAATAAAAAAGACTAAAAGAATTTACTTCAGAGACGTTTTTAAATGAGTCATTACAAAATCACAACAGGGTTCAAGATTTATGTTCCATTACTTATTCCTAGTCTTGTGCATAACAAGTCTGAATGATTTATCACTATAAAATTCAGACTACTTAATCTTCAGAAGGAACTCTCATATAAAATTGTGTAAACTTCTAATGAAAATTTAGTTCAAATGGAGTTGAATTGTAATAAAAATACACAAAATTACTCTTAATTTTAATGAGCCATCTTTACAAACAAGGGAAGTTGCAGTTTCTATAATTCACTTAACTCTTGGCTATTTTAATGGTCTTTTCTGGTTACTTGGCTTATATACACTAATACAATTTTTCTACATAGAAAAACAGTAGAAATTAATACCTTATATTGGATAATTGGATGGAACAAATAGTGTACATAATTGTATGTATAAAAAACCAAGATCTATGTTGAGATATTGTTGTATTTAAATTTGCAATTAAGGCATGTTTAATGCTTTCTGAGGTCTATCTTCAAGTTTGATTTCTGAAGTACTTATCTTGAGCCAACCTTCTTGGTAAGCTTTCAAAACTTCACAGCATTAATTCTGCTGCACAAAACTATCCTGATTATAACAGCTACTTTTCATAGTTTGTCCCTAGTTTCTGGCAGGCAGGCAATTATTTATGTTTTGAGAACAAACAGTGTCTCTCTAGCTCACTCACATGAAATATTTTGCTATATACTTATTTGGTGTTGGATCTTCTGTCAGGGGACCATTTGTTGTTGTATACTCTTGTCCACCATTGCTTTTCAATTCTAATAAGTTTGTAAAAGACTGCACATGTTTTTTTCTTTGTCTGTTACCTTCCACTGTCATTAGTTACATATCTGTCTACTTTGAAAGGTGTGATTTGTAAAATTTTTGATTTCTTCTTCAGTGGGTGAATGCCAGAGAGAAATTTCAACAAGCAGCTGATCTTATTGATGCAGAGCAACGCATGAAAAAGTCTATGTGGGGTCAGTTTTGGTCAGCCCACCAGAGATTTTTCAAGTACCTCTGCATAGCATCCAAAGTCAAAAGGGTGGTACAGCTAGCTAGAGAAGAAATCAAGAATGGGAAAGTAAGTTGTTTAAGTCTGGTAGTAGTTCAGAATGTTTTGGAAACCTCTCTAAGTGTAGTACCATCCAAATTACTTGTTCAAATGGCTTTGTTTCTAGTACTAATGTGTTTTGAAGGTGTGTGATGACATGCTTTTCAGCTTTCTGAGGTTCTTCTTGATTGTGAATCCCTGTTTGTCTAACTTACGAGAAGTAAAAATATGGTTTTTTTAATCAGAATCTCAGGGCTTTGTGTTAATTGTATTTGTGGTTCTTCTTCCTCCCTCCCCCTCCCCTGCCCCCAGTGTGTTGTTATTGGACTACAGTCTACAGGAGAAGCAAGAACATTAGAAGCCTTAGAGGAGGGTGGTGGAGAACTGAATGACTTTGTTTCCACAGCAAAGTAAGTCTTCCTTTTTTTGCCACCGTATCAGTGTGTTTGAGTGAATTTTAGTGCCAAAGAATGGGGAAAAACTGAAGTCACTATATAACCATTTTTTTCCTTAACAGATGAAAATTTGGTAGAGGAACATTCATTCTTAATTTTGTTTTTTCTTAAACACAGAGGAGTATTGCAGTCTCTCATTGAGAAGCACTTCCCAGCTCCTGACAGAAAGAAGCTTTTTAGTTTGCTGGGAATAGATTTGACTGCTCAAAGTAATAACAATTCACCTAGGGACAGTCCTTGCAAGGAGAACAAAATAAAGAAACGGAAAGGTAAAGTGTAAGCTGCTATTTTTATGTATTTGCTATACTATTGAGGTAATGGCAGCACTTAAGAGAATTGCACAGAATAAGATTCTTTGTAGAATAATCTTTTTGTGGGTGGCAAATGGAAACGATTGGGACAGCTAATGGAATCTGGTTATTGGAGGACCAAATCTTGCACCTTCTATCTGTTTGATACTATAGATATGCAGGAAAGTTGCAACCTTTGTGACTCACGAAAAAACTTAAAGATCTAAAATGTTAAATTCATGTGCTTTCAGTTACGATTCACTGAAAAGCCCCATTTCAGTACTAAGGCTCTGTTTTTTTCCTAGTCACTGCAGAGGTATGAAAACAGATTGTGAAAAATAGACTACAGATCTCTAAATCAGTGTTCTTATTTTGGGGGAAAATAGGTGAGGAAATAACTAGAGAAACCAAGAAAGCTCGTAAAATAAGTGGCCTAGCTGGGAGCAGTTCCGATGAGAGTGAAAGCGACTCTGATGCCTCAGACAATGAAGAAAGTGACAATGAGAGCTCTAAATTTTTGAGTTCTGGAGATGATGATGACTTCAACCCATTCAGAGATGAATCTAGTGAGGACGATGAAGATGGTAAGATAATGTGGATACTCTTCCTTAAGTATTTAGCTGTATTTCTGAATATTAATGTCAAATATAATTTTATTTAACACTTCAGTGTGAGACAAAATAGAGGACATTTGTTATAAATGTATAACCTGAAGAAGTAGGTCCTGAAATTAAATAGCTCTAAAGTTGTCGTTTTATGCTTAGTGGTTTACCTATGATAGCTGTACTTGACCATATCTTTTAAAAGCATTTTTAAACTGCTTTTTTGACCTAGAATTTAACTAACTGGAAGATAAGTAGAATTTGGATTGTCCTTAGGAAAGTTAATTTTTTTGAAAATGGGGAAGTGTCTTGACTAGTTACTTAATATTTTCTTTAACTTCAGACCCCTGGTTAATTAGAAAAGATCATAAGAAAAATAAAGACAAGAAAAAGAAGAAAAGTATAGACCCAGATTCCATTCAGAGTGCCTTATTAGCTTCTGGTCTTGGATCAAAACGACCTAGCAGTTTTTCTTCCGTTGCTGTTACCACTGCTTCTAGTACCAATACATCAGGTATGAATGAGGTTTGGAATTCTTCGGAGTCTCTACTTTTTCCCAACAATTGCAAAGCATTTAAAAAAGCGTAATTTCTTAAGGAATTGTTTTTGTCTTTACATTTCAGCTAACAGTAATACTAACAGCAGCTTTGTAACAAGTCAAGATGCTGTTGAAAGAGCCCAGCAGATGAAAAAAGAATTGCTTGATAAACTGGAAAAACTAGCCGAAGACCTTCCTCCTAATACTTTGGATGAACTTATAGATGAACTAGGTGGTCCTGAGAATGTGGCTGAGGTAGGTCCAGTGTGACTATTGCAAGTGAAGAATTTTTTGTTTCCCTCCATTTCACTCAATATTTACATGTATTTTAGAAATCTGGTTGTGGTATTACTATTTTTCAAGATATGTAGTGATGTGAGCTGCATATTAGAGGTTTAAGCTGATAAGTAAGTCCATTAGTCTTGCAGGTCCTTATAACTCCAAACGCTATAGAAAGAAATGTAAAGACTGGTGAAGAGAAGGGATCTGAATAGATAAGGACTGGGAAAAACTGTCTATGATTTGATTTTTCTGTTTTTCTCGTTGGGTGAGAAATGCCGGCTTGTCTGTCTGTCTCTTTGTACTGTTTCTTAATTTCCTGACTAGTTAGCTAAAGCTGATATGCTGTGTGTAGCAATGTATGATTGTGCCATTCTCCTTTTAACTCCAGGTTTCTCTCCCGAAGTCCAGGCAGGGAAGACCCAGAGTGGAGTTGAGGACCAGGGAGGGCATGTGTGTAAAGCTTCACATAAGGGACAACACTTTTACCCACCAGCACTAAGAACATTTCTCCTGTAGGCTGTCTGTCTGTCCAGCAGAAACATTCTTTGTTCCCTTAGTTCAGAAGAGACCCTGTTACTTTCAGTGAATTTCTTTGGAGTTCTAGTTCCTTTCTTTCCCTTCACAGCTTTCCATACTTCCATTTACTAAATACTATGGCTTGTCTACATGAACGATTAGATCACGGCAAGCTAGTGTGTGAATCTACCTTGCACTACTAGCCAGTCGCAGTCTAGCTGTCCACGGACAATGCACATCAGCAGAGTGTTTTGTTAACATGTTTTGAGCTAGTTCTGTTTCAGAGGGGACCAATCCAGATCAAAGCACTCTGTTAACATGCTTAGTTCTGCTATGAGTGCAGTTGGACTGGACTAGATGACCTCTCGAGGTCCCTTCCAATCTTATGATTCTGGGATTCTATGCGTGAGGAGGGTGCACACAGACCATGGCAGGCTATTGCAGGGTAAATTTACACTGCACTTGTTGCTGCTGAATTGGTTTTGTAGGTAAGGTCTTAGACTTACAAGTTCCATGACTTGACTACAGTAACAGTGAAATTCTCTAGTTACTAATGATGCCTTCGTTATCAGACAATAAAAAACACTAAGATTGGTGGTCCTCCATCCCTTCCACATAACCTCTGCTTTATTGGATTGCCTTTTTGATTCCCAAGGTTATTCCAAAATAGGAGTATTGTGCGCTGCTCAGTATTGCATCAGTCAGGCAGCTTCAGGTATAAAATGTATCTTGGTCTTTGGATACTTGCAGTGAATTGTTTGCTGTCTTCTAAGGACAGTGTGTGAATAAATAGCACTGATGTTTGAAGTAATTTCATGTTCCATCATTTCAGCACCTCTACGATAAGGTTAAAAATATTCCTTTGTTTTAAAGATGACAGGCCGCAAAGGGAGAGTTGTAAGCAATGATGATGGCAGTATATCTTATGAGTCAAGGTCTGAACTTGATGTGCCTGTTGAAATTCTAAATATCACAGAAAAGCAGAGATTCATGGATGGAGACAAGGTAAACTACTTCTATGTAACTTCAAGGAATTGTTTTATGTTGGAGAAATTATAGCAGGTCTGTCCACAAGCAGTAGGCACTAGACTGTTAAAATGTGCAGTTCCAACCACAGTCTTAGCAGCACAGTATAATAGAAATTAACTGATCTACAGAATCATATACCCATTTTTGCTCCTAAAAGCTCTGTCAAATACATGACTTTTATGGAATGTCCTGAAGGTCAACAGGCTTTTTCAGCTGGGAATGGGAATTGAACCATTAGTTTTAATAAGTCCTTTCTATTTAAAAGGAGAGACTCAAATTCAAGTGGACACTTCTAAAAACTCAATCTTCTGATACAGCACTCATTTAAAGAAAATAAATAAATCCAAGGCTTTTGCTCCCCAGCTGCTTATAAATACCTCATCTGGAATACTAGGCAGTACTTGACACCTCCATTTCAAAAATGATTTTGCAGTGATAGAGGTATATAGGGAAAATGCATGAGTGACTTGTCATGGAAAAACTCACGAAGAAAGGCTAAAAAGATTTTGAAAAAATTGGGATTATATCCCTTAGAAAGGAGACTGATAAGAGACATAATAAAAGTGTAAAATAATGGTATAGAGGAGAGAGAGAGGGGCTTCTGTCCTCCTTGTCTCATAATAAAACAACCAGCAGAGATTCAATGAAATGTGGCTAATTCAAAACTGATAAGAAAATACTTCTTTACACACTATGTAATTTGGCTGGAATTCATTCCCACAGGATGTTGTTGAAACCAAACACTTAGCAACATTCAAATAGGGATTGGATATTTTTATGGATAACAAGAATATCTAGAATTGTTATAGTTAATACTAAGATATTTTGGAAAGGATATAAAAACAATTATCCTATATCTACCAACAGTGATGTTTCTTGTACCTTCCTTTGAAGTATCTGGTACTGCCCACTGTCAAAGACTGGGTGGACCACGCGTCTGACTCAGTATAACAATTCCTATGTTCCATACTTCTTGAAGAGTCTGAGAGCATCACCATGAGGCATGCTTCGGCCTGTCCCTCTTCCCTTTTCTCTCTGTTCACCCGTCTGCCTGTTCTGTTGTCAGTTTCAGTTTTTCTGGTAGTACTGGTAAAACCCTCTTGTAGAGCCTGTGGTGCCTTGAGTGATATAGCTGACCCTCAGCTAAACAGGGAAACATCTACAGGACTAGCTGCACCTCTGACCCCTTGCTGAGTTCATTGAGTGCACCCACTCATGTTTCAGGCCTTATGACCTCACCTCTCCTGCGATGGAATCATGCAAGTCTCTGGGTCTTAGACTGGGTTCTGCACTGCAATACACTATGGCTCAACCGTACTTACTCCATCAGATCCGGCTGGGTTCATGTACCTGCAGTTCTTGCCTCGGAGAGCTTCTGATCAGTGCATTACAGTGACTCAAAACAGCCTTCTTAAATCAAAGTATTTAACAGTAGGAACAACACAAGAAAAAAGAGGCTTTAAAGCTAAAGTTCCAAATGTTTGTCTGTCTTACTTCCTGGAAGCTTAGGAAGGCCTAGCTTCTTCAGACCCACAGGTTGGTGTCTGACCTGTCATGAATAGCTGCCAACTACTGTTTCCACTCTAGATTGAGCAACTTTAACTGTTGTTAGGCCTTTTGCAGTGTTGTAGTCGTATTGGTCCCAGGGTATGAGAAAGACAAGGTAGTTAAGGCAATATATTTTATTGGACCAACTTCTGTTGATGGGAATGTACAAACCTTCTAAGAACACCCCCCAGACCTGAAGTACTCGATGTAGTTCGAAAGCTTGTACCTTCCATCAACCGAAGTAGGTCCAATAAAATATTTTCTTACCTGCCTTGTCTCTCTGATAGACCTTTTGGTTCCTGGCCTTTGCAAAACAAGCTGTTACTTGGCTGGAGCCAAGGAGGTAAGATCTTCCCATTTAATAGTTTAGGCATTGTCTTTTTATTCCCCTCAAAGTGTTTGACTGGAGGTGTCTAATATGGAGCCACTGTCTTGCCTTCCTGATTGTTTTTCCAACAGCCTGCTGGTAAACTAAATCAATATATTCATACAGTAAATGTTCTAATTAATGGTCTCCTACAATATTCATAAGTTAGAGCTGCTCCATATTGCCTATACCCACAGTCCTGTGAGATGCACACAGACCAACTTGAGAAATCCATGTTGTCCATCTGAAAGTTTTACGCTGACGACTGTTAAAAGTAACTCCTCAGACTACAGAGCTTTTTTTTTTTTAGCTTGGTTATCTTATGATCTCTCACGAAATCGCTTGAGTGAGTTGTAACTTAACTTTGCTGTTGCAGTTCTGTTACAAGTTGCATGTAAATATTTAAATCTTTTATTCTATTTTATAAATACCTGAGTATTTTCACCTGAGGATCAAATGCCAAAATGGTTTTATACTTGGCTATCAAGGTACCCTTATCCAGTGCAGCAGCCTTATAATTTATATTGCTCGTGGTCAGCTGCCACCTTGTAGGAAAAGAGCTTTAGTTGCTATAGGAGTCTTTCTCCCTTTCTTTCATGAGGGGCTGGCCTACGTCACAGGAGCCTCTCCTCTGACATGGCAGGACTGGATGCCGATCTCTGCTGTTCTCCAGTTGCAAGAGGGAGTTGCTGGGACAGTAAAGTGATAACCCCCTTTCCTCTCTCAAGGGCTCTGTGCCTCTGTAGCATTTGTTTAGCCTAAACGCAAGAAGATTAAAGCTCATCCCCACCCACACCCAAGTACCAAAGCTAAAGCTCCAGTCACGTAGCAATTGGTAATTCCAAAATCAGCTGTTTTTTCACAAATCTGGAAACTAAGGTTTGGTCTCAAATTCACTGCTAATTTTTCTTCTATGTAAAAGAACATTGCCATCATCTCAGAAGCTGCCAGCTCAGGTATTTCATTACAAGCCGACCGTAGAGCTAAAAATCAGAGGCGGAGAGTGCACATGACTTTGGAGTTACCATGGAGTGCAGATAGAGCAATACAGCAATTTGGTGAGTTAATGGCTGTATTTTAATTCATCAAGTTCAGAAATAATCTACTGCACTAGGCATGTCCATGGTTAGTTTTGGTATAATATGGAGTATTCTGTTCGTTAGATGCTGTGAGTTATGTCTCATTAATTCTGGTGAATAAAACTGGTGGTGTATACAGAGATTTGTAAATGTTAGAATTAGTTGTTTTGCGTGTTCTGTGCATCTTCATGAAGTAATCAGAAACTTGGAGTGTTGCATTTGGTAATGTTCATCTGCACATAGTTTTACAGTAGAATTTACAGCAGAATCAACAACTTTCTAATTGTTGTCTTGCTCGTGGAGCAGCAGGATTGCTAGGTTTAGTTATATTTAAGCTCCACCCCTCTTCCCATCCCATAGTAAGGCCAACTGTCTGTGCCCCTCAGTAGAAATTTTGCCTGTAGGCTTAGTGTAAAAAGTCTAAGCAAAACTGGTATTATACCTTGTTTCATAGTATGTGCATCCACAAACATTCCCCCTTTGTGCATAGCAGTTGTTTCTCTTTACAAGATTTATCTACAACTGGTATATAAATAGGATGGGTGTTCTGAATTTTTTTAGTTCCTATCACATTGACTCTTTGCTTAAGAATGTATTAAGTCTGTGTGTGGCAAAAGTATCAGTGTCTCCCAATTGCTTGTTTATGATTCTGGAGACTTCTTTCTACTTTCCCATCAAATGTTCTGTGGAGTTCCTGGTTGGTTTTTGTAACTCTTTTCACTTTTAAATACACAGGAAGAACTCACAGATCAAACCAAGTTACTGCACCAGAGTATGTGTTCCTAATTTCCGAATTGGCAGGAGAGCAAAGATTTGCATCTATAGTTGCCAAAAGATTAGAGAGCTTGGTAAGACTGTTATGTATAACTCAGTTAAAGCACTGTACATAGTCTATTTCTCAGTACAGAGACCTCTTGTATGTTTTAATTACAAAGGTATTGTCTTGACAGGGAGCTCTCACTCACGGTGACAGAAGAGCAACAGAAACTCGAGACCTTAGCAGGTTCAACTTTGACAACAAGGTGACATCTCCTTAGTTTATTGTTTTTGTTTTTGTTTTTTTTTGTTTTTGTTTGTTTGTTTTTTTTAAATAAAAACAGATTGCAACAATACTTATACTAGGCAAAATGAAAAGGTGCCTGTGGAGGAATTCCCTCTCATTCTTCCTTTTTGAACTGTTGTATTTTGCTTCTTTCTCTGCCCACTGTTTGGGGAGGGAATGTTGTACTCTGCTTATAAAGTGCCATGTAAAATTACAGCATATATAGATGATTTAATCTACCAGGTAAAGTTCCATGTTTTAACCCTAAGCAGTTGGCTGTCTTTCAATCAATCTGTTGAGCGTCCTGAACCTGGGGAAATGACCGTGTTAAGGAGAAATTAACAGACTGGGCTATTACCATACAATGCATTTTGTTAAACTGAAAAATTCATCAGCATTTTCCCATTTTCTTCCATGCTCTAATTTAGTTGTTTGTAATTTGGATTGTGAATGGAAAAACTGTATTCAGGCAAGGATTAAAAATTAGTTCTTTAACCCAGGGTGTATACCAGCATGCATACTAGAATTCTGAGGCTTAACCCCATATGCAAAATTTTCACAGTACTGTAACTTAATTTTTTTTCTTAACACAGTATGGCAGAAATGCTTTGGAGATAGTTATGAAATCCATTGTGAATTTAGATTCCCCAATGGTGTCCCCACCTGCTGACTATCCTGGAGAATTCTTTAAAGGTAATTGTAATTCACTGTTTTCTAACCCCTAGTTTTTGGTCATCCTTTCTCGAAAACACTTACTTCTGTTTTTCTAAATGGTAGTGAGTTAGGTTTAAATGTAAAGAATTATTCTTGATATCAGGTGGCTTAATTCTGTTCATACTACCAGTACAATTCTTCTAATTGTTTAAATTAACTTGTGAATTTTATATACTAGTTCTTAGCCCAAACATGAGATCTATTCCCCCATGATAAATACAGCTGAATATAATTCCCATAAAAATGTTTAAGGGAACATATATAGTTGTTGTATGCATAGGAAAATTTGGAGTTAAATTCTCTTTAAATTCTGTTTCCCTATGGGTACCAATTTCAGAGAATGCTACAGTCTTGTCTAGTTATGGCTATTTAACCACAGTACTAAAAACTGTTTAAAAACCTTGCCTGGTTGTCACCCTTTTTTTTTTTTTTAAAGAAGCTTATTTTGCTCTTCTATTGATCAAAAATGTAGTAATATTGGTATTCCTCACTACCCATGTTTCGACTCGACCAGAAGCGAAGGCTTTGTATCGTGACTTCCTAGCATATGGATCAGTCACAAATTATATATATGGGGTGTGCAAAGATTTGGAATTGGATTTTTGGGGCAGGAGTGGGGATTATCTGCTGCTCCAGAGGTAACGCAAATATTGTTTTCCTAGCTATTTTCGTTTTCTTGGCAATTATATGGTTATTCAGAGGGCAGGACAAAGATGGCTTCAGTCCTTGTAACTTTTTCTTTCCCTAGATGTTCGGCAAGGATTAATAGGTGTGGGCCTAATAAATGTAGAAGACCGATCAGGAATTCTGACACTTGATAAAGGTATTGTTTTTGGTGTATCTGTCAATGTTGATAGCTGATGTATAATTTTATTGTCAAATCAGAAATCACTTCTGTGATTATAAAACCACAGACCTGGCAGTGAGATTTGGAGGCAAAAGTGGCACCTGAAACTTCTCTTATTTATGTCTAGATTTGAAGTTAATCTCTTTAAGAAATGTATGCTTTATTTCAAAAACATGTTTTGCTTTGATAGTTTGAAAAGTTTGATTTTAGTTAATTTTTAAAACGTATGAATTCTAGTTTAGGACTTCACTTATACCAGAATTCTCTCTCCTAAACTGTGCACTTTATACATTATTTGTGATTCTTTTTAGATTACAACAATATAGGAAAATTCCTGAATAGAATTCTGGGTATGGAGGTTCATCAGCAGAATGCTTTATTCCAGTATTTCTCTGATACGTTAAATGCAGTTATACAAAATGCTAAAAAGAATGGAAGATATGACATGGGTATTTTAGGTAAGTAAATCAAATTTCTTAATGTTTTTTCTGCTCCTTAATCTGCTTCTCGTACATAAATTATTGTTTGTTCTTGGGTTTCTTTAAGATCTGGGCTCTGGAGATGAGAAGGTCAGAAAGGCAGATACTAAGAAGTTTTTAACTCCGGGATACTCTACCTCTGGACATGTAGAATTATACACAGTAAGTTAATTCCGTGTTTCTTCAAACTGCCATAACTTTAGTTGCCCTTGAAAATCCTTAATTTGAAACTTCAGTTCTTAAATTGAAACTTGGTATTCCACTATGGAGGTTTGTAAACCTGTTACTGAAAAAATGAAGTTCCTTGTCATCTTGTAAAGACCACTGTTAACTGTTGTGACTTAATTGTTTGTATGTAATCTCAGGAATTGTTCCAAAATGTGGTGTTTAAACATCCTTGTTTTAATGTCTCTTCTAGATCAGTGTAGAAAGAGGAATGTCTTGGGAAGAAGCAACTAAGATTTGGGCTGAGCAAACTGGACCAGATGATGGATTTTATTTATCTTCGCAAGTGAGAATCTGTTAAAATGTGTTGTTGTTTTTTCCATATTTCTCAGATGCATTTTTTAGTAGAACAGAACAATTTTTTGGCTGTCCCAATAAACTCCACTAACTTAATTTCTTTCACATTAAATGTGTAAAGTGAATATATTCAAAACTTTAAAAATTGAATTTATTTTCAATCCAGTACAATCTCTTATTTTTTATTTAGTTTAGCAAAATGCTTTCAAATTTTTATAAATAAGCAAATTGATTTTAAAAATGATTTTGTGGTTTATGTAACTTCGTTTAATCATCAAGCACTGATGACAAAACACTACTTTTTAAGACATTTAGGACAGGTATCAAATGTAACCATACACTTAGTTTTAAGTGGTATTCATTTTAAAATCTGTGTGCTCATGCTATATGCAAGGTAAACCGTGTATAATCTCAGACACTAGGGTGTGAATTATGGTAATCATGACACACCTCTTGGAAGCCAGTGCCACTATCTTTCACCTCGTGCCAAACTACCATTAAGACATGTTGTTACTGGACCATAATTATGACACATCCTGTTATGTCATATTGGTTAATTGTGTACTCTTTCTAGTTGTGGACCAATATGTATATAGAAAAAATTGTAATACATGTGGCTAGTTAAAGTATACTTGGAGAAATGATTCATTAGAATTAGGATCTGGATAGCTATTCAACACATTTATTGTATGCATAATTATTTAGGAAAGACACTGTCCATGTTTCAACTTATAAAATCATTTTTTTCAGATAAGAAATAATAAGAAAACTGCCATCTTGGTAAAGGAAGTGAATCCCAAAAAGAAGCTTTTCTTAGTATACAGACCTAACACTGGGAAACAACTCAAATTGGAAACGTTTGCAGACCTGAAAAAGAAATATAAGAAGGTAACCTTTTAAATCAACATTACTTAAAAAGCAGTTTCTTTGTGGTAAAAGACAATGCAGGATTTTTCAAAACCCATGTCTGTCCATACACAGTATGGTGGCAAGTTATAGAAACACTTAACTAATGCTGTTTATGAAGTAAACTTCGTCCAGTACAAGCCTATAGTTATCTTTATCCAAGGAGATCTCTAGGGCTTTGCAAGCCTGCCTAAACAGTGTTTTGTATCTGCAAAAACTTACCAAAATATCAATTGTTCCATTAAGACTTTCCATAATCTAGGAGTAGCTTTCCAAACGTCAACTAGGGAGAAGGTTCAGCTGCAATTAAACTTGCAGAAGATGCTTTATCCCAAACATGTTTGAACACTACGTGCAATATACTCTAACCATACATGATTCTGAACTTCCGGCTGTTTCCCTGCTAGTGTTTCTAAAATACTAAAATTAATCTTTTCGTTTGTCCCTCAAGATCATATCACAGCAACACAATTGCTTTAGTAGCCAATGTTTTCCTAGGCAAGTTGTCTGTGAACTGTTAAGAATTTACATGATGCTTGTAAGAATAAGTGAACGAAGAGCACTCAAGTGTGACGATGTCTTTGAATTTATCGCCTTATAAACGAGGTTCTTGGATCTACAGACATCTCAATCAGTGAGATTCTACTATACCTAAATCTTTATTTACATCCTTAGCAGGATTTCTACTTGTAGCATGGATTTACCAAAATGCTTACAGAGCAATATAACTTGGATTGTTCATATTAGTACTTTAAAAAAACAAACGAAAAACAAAACCAAAGTTATATCAGTGTTATCTGTCGTCCCATTGCTACAAGCAAAATACTGTGTGCGCTGTTCTGTAGTTTTCAGAGGCCACGTTTATATTTTAATACAACTTTTAAATGGCTTTTCAGGTACCTTCTGAAGATGCTCTACCACATTGGCTAGAGCAGTACAATTCATCGGCAGATACCTGTACCCATGCTTATTGGTTAGTATTTATATGTATATAAACAGGTTTTCTACCAAGGTGTTTGACTAAATCTGTTAATTTATCACTTGGACCAGGAGTCTACAGTTTAATTTATCAACTTTTCATCCACATCTTCATAAAAATTCCAAGAGCCAATATTGGTCACTTCATGTAATTTCTGAAGGAGTCTCAAAGTCAACAGTCCAAGTGGTAATCTGCAACTTCTTACCTTACAAGAGAGAGATGAAAATATGAACTTGTTTTCAGACTTCATTTTTTAATTCAGAGTGGGCATAATGAAGAACTTTTGTAATAACGCAGAGGGACTAAAAGTGTCTCATGTTTTGGTAAACATATTGATCTGTTGAGATGTATTGGATATAACTAACTTGAAAAAATGTAAACCCAGTAACTTTAGCTAGATTCAGAGTTTAGATGGTTGAACTAAAGAACATTAGTTTTAATGCTGATTCTCCTAGCAATATGCTGTTAAACCCTCAACATCATGCCTTGACTTCTCAGTGCTAACCACTGATGAAGAATGTCCGTGTATTAATACCCCAACATCTGAATTTGTTTTTAGAGCACTTACCCTCTTGCTAATGGACATTATTGGTCAGAGCCTCAGCTGGTGTAAGTTAGTGTAGCTCTGTTGACTTTAATGCAGCTTTGTCAGTTTACGCCTGCTGAGGATCTAGCCCGAGATGTACTAATAGTCTTTCACAACTTTAAAAGCCATTTTGTGGAGTAGCTTTATCCATGTCCCCATCTCACTATCCATCATGACCATCTTAACTTTCTCCTCCTTTAGTGTTTACTTACACAAGTAAAGATTTTTCATTTAAAAAAAAGTTCATTTGAATTGTAAAATACCCTCCCTTGTTCTTTAATGTGTTAAACTCTCTTCCTCCTCCAGGAGAGGCAATTGTAAGAAAGCAAGCCTTGGATTAGTTTGTGAAGTGGGCCTCCGCTGTCGAACTTACTTCGTCTTGTGTGGTTCAGTACTAAGTGTCTGGACAAAAGTGGAAGGAGTTCTAGCCTCTGTGAGTGGTACAAATGTGAAAATGCAAATAGTTCGGCTAAGAGCAGAAGATGGACAGAGGATTGTAGGTAAGTAAGTTTGTCCATTATTTTAACTTGTTTCTGCTGGACCACATAGCAGTCAGTTAAACTTGGGGTGTATAGACTGAAGTTATATTCTGAGTTTGTGTAGGAGGTATACACGTACACACAGAGAATAGGCCTTTGTGCCTTACTATAAGTAAGTATTTTGATTTCTGTATTATGAGTTGTTTGCATGAGGTTAAGGGGGAGGAACTATTCCAAACCAGCCTTCTGCTGAAAACTTCTGCTGGCTAGAGCTGAAGAGCCCCCCCCCCCCCCCCCTCAAAAAAAAAAAAAAGGGGTGGGGGGAAAGGAATAGGGGTGAGTCACTTCAGGCTAAACAGCAGGCTCATTGCTGTAAAAGTTAGGGTTGTTGCACCCCTACACTACTGGACAAAGTGTTGCACTTTCCCCCTCCTGTTTATCACTTGATGCATATTTCCCAACAAAGGCAAGATCCACTTATGTCCCAATACACCTGTGGTTCTCTCGGCCACCCAGAAGGGTTAGACTCCATTTTTTTCCAGCCAGCTATCTTTAAAACCAAAGCCACTCAACTTTTCAGCCTTGAAGAGGGGTTGCAAACCCTTAATTCAACCATTAAAATACTCACTCCTGCAGTGTTTGTGGGCTGTTGAAGCCATGGCTGAAAAGTATGAGTGGAGTGGCTCAAGCGTGGAGATCATAGGCCTTAGCACAGGGGTGGGCAAACTTTTTGGCCTGAGGGCCATATCTGGGTGTGGAAATAGTATGGCAGGCCATGAACGCTCATGAAATTGGGAACTGGATTGCGGGAGGAGGTGAGGGCTCCAGCTCAGGGATGCGGGCTCTGGGATAGGGCCAGAAATGAGGAGGTCAGGGTGCTGGAAGGGGCTCTGGGCTGAGGCAGGGGGTTGGAGTGCAGGAGGGGGTGAGAGCTCCAGCTGGAGCTGTGGGCTCTGGGGTGGGGCCAGGGATGAGGGATTCGGAGGGCAGAAGGGGGATCAGGGCTGGGGCAGGGGGTTGGTGCGTGTGGCATGGGAGGAGGTGAGGGGTGCAGTCCCCAGGTGGCGCTTACCTCAAGCCGCTCTCAGTAGCAGCAGCATGTCCTCCTCTCTGGCTCCTATGCAGAGGTGCGGTCAGGTGGCTATGCGTGCTGCCCCATCCATAGGCACGGCCCCTGCAGCTCCCCTTGGCCGCAGTTCATGGCCAGTGGGAGCTGTGGGTGCGGCGCTTGGGACAGGGGCCCCCTGTATGCCCCTACGTGTAGGAGCTGGAGGGGGGACATTCTGCCGCTTCCAGGAGCCGCGTGGAGCCATGGCATGCGCGGGGCAAGGCCCGCTCCTCAGTGGGAGCTTCAGGGCCAGATTAAAAGGTCTGATGGGCCAGACGCGGGCCATAGTTTGCCCACCCCTGCCTTACAGCTTAACTCCACTGAGTTTAGTGACATTTAAAAGGGGTGTAAACTGGATTTTTTTTCTCTTCATCCCTGAACGTCTGTAGTTTTGTGACCTCTTCTGTCCAACCAGGAGAGTGAATAAACAGCCAATTGCTGCCTTGTGTATTTAGTTGAAAATACAGCAAGAGTAGTTGAAGCTGTACTTCCCTAAAGACAATTTTCATTTTTTCCTGCTCGTCTGTGACTGAAGGATCAGATGACTTTTGAATGTACTACTTTTAGTTGGGAATAGAACCTGCTTTAGCGCTCGATAAGTTCTTAAAGACTTGACATTGAAAATTAAATCTTTTTATGCAAAAGCTGCTGCTGACATTTAAGGAACTTGGAACCATTGGCCTAAGTTCTTAATTATACAAACATTTTATACATTTTAAGAAGTACAGCTGACTTGTTGCTAATTACAGGTTTGCTCATTCCTGCAAATTGTGTATCACCCCTTGTAAACCTCCTGTCAACATCAGACCAGTCTCAACAGCTTGCAGTACAACAGCAGCAGATATGGCAGCAGCATCACCCACAGAGCATCACCAACTTCAACAATGCTTAAGAGGACAGACTACAGGTGTTGACTTTGGTGTTTTGAGAAAAGGCTGTAAAAGCATATCACTTGCATAAAAATCAGGGACAGATTCCAAAGAAATATAATTTTTTCAGTTCAGTTGTGTGGTCTCAGAAGTACTTTGGGAATAAAGAGATACATAAAGGATGGTAGAACTGAAAGCCAGCAGTTGCTTATGGTGGTGCATCTGTCTATGCTCTTTGTAGAGCTTCCTGTTTGCTTTTACTTTTGGCCTTTTAAGCCACAAACCACAATTTTTGTTTGAAAATGCTTGAAAATTCCCAAACAGGCTTTATTTTTATCTTGTCATACAGTGCTCAGGGTTTAACGCAGTACATCAATGCCATTGCTGTGGGAGATAACCTCGAATGCATGTATTGAGTATATATAGAAAATATATATTGGGTTTTTTCTCTTCAACTTGTAAGTTTATATAAGCATGAAAACTAGAGATTCACATCATGCATTCATTCAGGTTCCTTCCCAGTTTCTGTTTGACAGTGCATGTCTTTGGAAACAGGCATGAACAGGATAAACACCCCAGTCAAGAATTCCGAGAGAAACAATCTTAGTTGTACAGCATTGGTTTTTGCATTTTTATAGTGTTTATACCCAAGTATTGCATTTTTTCTGGTTCTCTCCTGGAGGTTATATATTTGAGTCTGCAACATGTTTTTTGTGATAAGCATCTTAAATTAAAAAGTTACTTCATTTTAATGTATTAATGGTATTCCTAATGTGTAATGCAAAGATGGCTAAAAGCCTTTCCTTTAAAATTAAAATATTTCCTTAATCCGAGGTGACTATGGAAACTAAGTGCAAATTCACTTCCACCTCTCATGCAATCTTATATTTTTTACTTCATTAATGTAATTTAATTTGTCATTTGTAAGATGAAACCTTACTTGAGCTGTAAATTAGACAATGGGGAAACTCTTGAGGGTTCCGCTATATGTGCTGTTTCTGTTACCCAGTAACTTGAATACTGTTTAATATGTTGTAAGACATTGTAGAGTTTATCTGGAGCTGTTTAAAAGAAATTGTAATGTACAAATGTGAATAGTCACTTATCTATAATATGGGTAAGTTTTGTTTTGCCTATAATAGTAGATGTTTATAAGAAAGTGAAGGACAATGTTTGTCATTTCTTGCTTGCACAGGTTGCACTATTGAAAAATTGAGATTGTATAAACCTGTCCAAAAAACTGCAAGATACCAGAATCTTGTAGATGTCAAATAAAACGTTATTGTACTAACAAAACTGGAGTCTTGTTTAGGCAATCACTGTATTCCAAAAAACTAACAAGTCTAGTTTGGCATTCAACAAGACTTGAATGGTCCAGCCTACTTAAACTAGTCTTCTGTCTTATGGTCCATATCAGTCTTTAAGTTGAACTAGTTAGTATCTGAGACCAGCGATAAACTCTATACTGAACTTCAGTATATATTTTACAAGTAAAGATTGTGCTGTAAGTACAGTAAAGATAAGGGTAAAGGGTTGACCTGATGGAGACTTAGTGCTGTGATCCATTGTAGTGCCTGCCTCATTTCCTTAAACATTTACTCAGTGGACCAGATTCTGATGTCTCAGTGATGTAAATCTGGGATAACTATGGAACTGAGATCGGAAATAGACCTAATAACCTTATTTTTAACTCCATTAGGTAAATGATCAGTGTGAAGTCCCGTTATTGCACTAGTATTACACATGCAGCACTAATATAGGAAGAGCTCATGAATCTGGGGGGAATTGTGTGTGTGCAGGAAGTTCCATGTTTTATTCAGCCAGCAATTGAACAAACTGAAATGCATTTTGAAATAAAGACTTGTAACTACAATTGATGTGTCTGAGGCTAATGCTGGCAGCAGCTATACTGTGAGAAAGTATTTCTAACCCAGGTAATAGTGGGTGCAGTTCCATTTCTAACTGTGTGAAATTGCAAGACAGCATTGACCTGACCTCACCCACCCCCGTACTTTGTTCTGGTGCGGGCAAGGAGTTATTTGACTCCTGCAAGGTCATCAGCAGATGCTGGTGAGCCAGGCAGGCTGGACATTGTGGACCATAAAAGTAGCAAGCGTGGTGTGAGTTGCATGGTCATCATTGCCTTGTTAGTAGGTGCATTCAACATCCTAATAAAGGTGAAATATACTTCATTTCATTATTCTGTGGAGAGGCAGCTTACTCTCAGCCCTAAAATTGTTGTGTTGAGCAAAACATCATCTTCAATGTGTTCCTGGGTTGGAAACCCGAATGCTCTATCTGCAATGCAATTGCAGAGTCTGGTCGAGAAACTTCCCCAAAAATGTAATTTTCCATTTTCTAATTGGTTCTGTTTTGTTTCAGGATAGAAATATTTTTAATGGGTTGAAACAATCAAACCAGTAACTATACACACTTTCGTCTGCCACAAAGCTATTTCCACCCCCATCGTTTGGTTGCAGATGTACAAGAGCTGTTTCCATACTGCTATATCATTGTTTTTGCGACCCAGATACTTTTCTAGCCTTATGCCAGTGATTTCCTGATGCAACTTGCTAATGAATCTAGACCCCAGCTCCAGAGGGAGTATCCCGATAAACTTCTGTTTTAACAAAGGTCTTTTGTTCAATCTCTTGCTCCCTATGTAAACAACTCTGGTAGTCTTGATTTTTATGTGCATGCGCCCTGGGACATCATGGCATGTTTGTCCCCTGGGTAGCCTTAGTGCTATTCACTTTGCATATAAGAAGTATTAATGCTTCTTTTTGCAGTGATTAATTTGTATTGTTTTTACCATTTGATGCTGGAAGTGTTAACTCCTAATGCTAGATGCTCATGGGAGGAGTGGCCTATGAGTGTAGGTATAAGTAGAATGGCTTGGGAAATAGATCAGTCATCAAGACAGGAGGAGGGAAGACCTAACGCAACTGCAAAGATAGGGTGGCTATCCCCTCACAGCACCTCTAGTAAATTCAGGCGTCAGGCAGTGGAGGGGGCAGTAAGAGACTCAGATCCCATAATGTAAGCTAAAAGGGAGGCAAGACCCTACTTATCACTTGATCCCTATTTTTGTCTCTTACGGATCATTGTTCCACTTAGACAAATAGTAACAAAATACATGTGTAAAACTAAAGCTGGATATAGAGGTCATTTATAAGATTAATTGTTCAGTCTCATTTGTTTCACCCATCATTCCAATAATGCACAGGTCCCAGAGGCATCCTATATAAAATGACTCTGTAGGAGCACGCAATGTAGAAGTGTTTGAAGTGCCTTGGCCTGGAGTTAGAGAAGGGATCAGATAGTTTTACATGTCTGAGTCAAAATCCACTGACCTTATTCGCTTATTTCAGTTGTGTCTACTAGTATGCTCAAATACACTACACATACATCTCTAACTCTTGCAGAAACTGTCTTGTCCAGTAAGTCTCGAAACTTTTGCAGTCAGCTTATGATTCTCTAGCACAGGGGTCTCAAAGTCCCGGCCCACGAGCCATCTGCGGCCCCTGAACCTCCCCGCTGCGGCCCCCGGAAACTTTTTACAAATTTTTTCATCCAACCGTCGTGGCTGCTGGCTGGCTGCAGGAGAGATGCAGCTATGCTGCTGGCTGGCTGCTGCAGGTACCGCCCCCTGCAGCTCCCATTGGCTAGGGAAGAGGGACAGAGATACCATCACTAGTTGCCGGGCAGAATCAGCTATGGAGGCAGCATCACTAGTCATTGGGTAGAGTCAGCCGGGGTGGCATGAGGCCAAGGGAGTGAGGGAAAAGGGTGGGAAATGGCCTGGGAGGTGGCGTGACTAGTGAGGCTCCAATGACAGCATGAGGGGGCATCCTGCCTCCATCCTCCCACCCCAACCACTGACTCCGTGGCCAATGGGAGCTCCAGGGGACGGCGCCTGCACAGAGGCGATGTGCCTGGTGCCTGCAGATAAGAAGAGGTGAAGATAAGAAGAAAGGAAAGTAGTTCTTTCTAGCTGTTGGCACTGCAGGTTGATGTAATGAAGTGGGGCCCTTTATTTACTGTCCCATATAATGTTGGTTGGTTGTGTAGGAGAGGTAAGGTGACTAGATAGCAAGGGTGAGAAATCGGGATGCGGGTAGGGGTAATTGGCACCTATATAAGACAAAGCCCCAAATATCAGGACTGTCCCTATAAAATCGGGACATCTGGTCACCCTAAGGAGAGGGCCATCTCAGCAGGAGCACCAGGAGACACTGACCCTGATGGGAGGATAATCCCAGTCACACAGGAAGGGTTTGAACCACCCACTGCCCCATGACTTGAGGGTAGTAGCCATGCGCCTCACCCCCTGCATCTGACCAGTGGGCAGACCACGACTGTGCCTCCTCCTCCAGCCGCTTTTGTGCCCAAGGAGGCCAAGGCCCAGCCCAACAAGGTCCTGCTGTCAGCGGAGCGTGGAGTGTGGGAAAGTGGACCGAACACACCTCTCTGACACCCACCTTGCTGCACTCCTGAAGGTACCGCTGCTCAGCCAGTGAGGCCAAACATCAACAAACTGACAGAACTGAGGCGTTGCCAGGTGTCTGGCAAACACTAAAAACTCTCAGGCAGGTGAAGAATTGGATAATGTTATATGACAGTTTTATGATTTCTAAGAAATTCAAAATAAAAAATACAATAGAAACGTTTTTCCGAACACCGTCTTCAGTGACATCATTGGCCCGCTGGGAGGATTTGGGGACTGGCACTGGCCCTAAGGTAAATTGAGTTTGAGACCCCTGCTCTAGCAGCAACATACCCGACTCTACATAAGATGGAGTTGAAGTCCTCCAAAGATGCCAGTTGTTTAGTCAATGTCTTGAACTGTTTTATATAAATGAAGAAAATTCTGCAACCTGTAAACATTTTGTGAAATGAGTTGTTCTGGAATTTTGCTTTTACTATTGGGATAAATCTTGCTTAAATCCCATAGTATGTTATGTACATATATAGACAGAACGTGTATATAGAGATCTGAAAGACAACTGAGTTCATTAATGTAAATATCTCCTGTAAAGCTACTCGAGTGATCTTGTTCTTAGTCTTTTTCCCTTTCAGATGTCCCAAGAGTTTTATTCCCATTTTCTTTACTTGCCACACACGGCATTTGTGTGTACATTAAAATATATACAAAATGTTCCACGGGTATCATACACTAGATAATTCTATTTCACAGTTGTGTTTTCACAACTATCAATTGTCTTGTCTTCTATAATTTTTTCAAAGTGTATTATGTATTTTTAATTCCATATTTTTAGTGTGCAATGCATTGTCTTGAAAGAAACGGATTCCTGATGTTGTCCTTTGATTAGTACCACTCGGTTTTCATTGCTTGTATCAGAGGGAAGCGATAGTTTGAATTTTGATTCAGCTTATGCTCATACCTTTTGATATCAGTCTCCTTAGCCTTTTCAGTGCATACTTGATGCTCTAGCATACACTGCTAAGTAAATTCATCTTAGTGTAGGGTGGGAAGAGAATATCTCCAACCAGTGCACTGTGAACTCCTACAACTGGGACATGATTGCAAGCACAAGATCTACAGATACAGTTGGTGACCTAAACAACAGCATTGTCCTCAGTCCTAAAGCACAAAGTTATGGTGATCAATACTTACCATGGATCTGGCTCTTCAAAGTGCTCTACAAAGGTGGGTAAGTTGAAGGGAGAAGATGCTGCTGCAATTGTGTCCTCCTAGAGAGGAACTTAAGCTTTATTTTAATGCATTGATTCATGAACAGGAAGTGCAGACTGAGAATTAATCAGAAATTAAGTGCCTGCAGAGCAAGTGGCAAATGCAAATGATCCACATTTAAATTTAGGTCAGAACTCATGGGGAAACCATTAAACTTTCGTCACAGGGAGACCACCCATATACCTGTGGAAGTTACTTAAATTCTGGTGTAATTTTTAAAACCCCATTATTATGGGTGGTGGGGGAAGTTTTGTTTCATAGGTAATTCCAAGGCAGTGTGGGATTGGAAAAGAAATGAATAAAATTAAAGTAATTTTTTTAGTTTGTGCCTTACTCAGCTGTTAAACTAGAGGCCATCCAAACCTAAAGGCTCTGCTCCCCATCAGCTCTTATCTTTGAGAAGGATTTATTGAGCACCCTTGTTACTGCACTGTATATTCCACAGACTGGAATATCATCAAAGGAAGAATCTCACTGCACATGAGACAAAATTAATCTCTGTGCTAATTCTATTACTGTTGGATGCTTCACTAAGAAACTCTGAGCCTTAGGAAATATTTAAACCATTTCTCCAGTGAAGCGCCAGCTACCCTATGAGTCCTCAGAACAACCTCATGCCAGAGACTGAAAAAGCAACTACCCATATGAATGCATCTGGAGGTAAACCAGGTTCATCTCTGGTGTCAAAGAATAGAGTGTAAAAGTAAATCCAGAGTGCAACTGATAGCATAACTTGCTAATTATGAGACCCACTGAAATTGAACACTACCTGCTTTTCTGTTTTAAAAAAGGAAAGAAATGCCTGAAATGCTCCTGGCTTGCAGCACATGGTTATGACCAGTAGTGACAGATGCTCTTAAAACACACTTTGGTCTTGTAGTAGTATTGTGGTCTTGTGGATTTTTAATGTCAGAGGGTCCATTGTTTTCTAGTTTGACCTGCATAACCCAAAAGTTTAATATTGACTCTGATCTTCAAATCATATGACAGTCCACAAAATCCCTAAGACAGGATGTTTCAGGAGTATAGATAGGTCCTGGGCAAGCCTAAACTGTTACAACCTGTTCAGGAGCTACCGTGTCGTCCAGGTCTACTACAGCATCGTTTCATAATATTGTATAATATACTCTTAAAAATCAGTGGTCATTTTCAAAGAG